TTCCCAGCATCCCATCTAAACCTCCTCTCTGTCAGTTTGAAGCCATTCCCACTTGTTCTGTCACTCCAGGCTCTTTTAAATAGCCTATTAAATAATATTAAACTATTCACTTGAGCCAATTCTGCAAATCCTTTTGCTGGGCTGCAGGGGGGTCAGAGTAGACAAGGAGAGAGATTTACGAGTGGCAGAGCTGGCTGTTGAACTGGTGTGGGTTGTAGGTGAGGTAATAAAATACCACAGGCTTGGCAAAAGTCTCCAGAGTGGAAACTACTGGAAAATGGAGCTGGGAATGCCAGGGTTCAGCTGTGGTGGGAGGCAGGGAGGGTCTCTCTGGGCTTGGAAGTGCCCAGGGCAGCACACCTGGGTCAGGGCTGAGGAGTTCTGGCCTCACCCAGGAGGTGCAAGGCAATGGTGGGTCCAGAAGGATTGTTTGCTGTGTGTTTTGCTGGTTTCCTGCTCAGTTTTCATTCACTAGTGATTATATTTGTGGGAGTTGTGTGTGTATCCTTGAGAGCAACTGCACTGCACCCTGTTAGTGAGAGCTCGTGTGTGTTTGCTGTGCTCTCACTGTGCTGAGGAGAAAGAAAAGTGAAAGGTAAGGCTGGATTTGAGCTTTTTTTTTCCTAGATATTAACTTTGGTAATTAACTGAGCAGCTTTGAGCCTTGGGCTCCAAGGGCTATTTGCTGGTTGTTTGCTGTTATTAAAGAATATAAAAGTATTAGTGGGGGAGGTTGGAGATTTCAGGCTCGAGTGAGCTGCTGTGAAGAGACCCTGTAATAGGAGTTCTGCTGCAGCCACCCCCACATGTGTTCAGAAATGATGTGCAGAAGTGAGGGAAGTGTCCAAGTCTGAGCCTGTGCTGCTCTTTTGGAAAAGTGTGGGATTTACAATTGCCTAGGGAGGCATCCTCTGGATAGGCAGATCTCTGTAGGGTGGAATAATTCACCTGAGAAGACAATTCAAACTGCAAAACATGTGTAAGGAAGAGAGAAAAAAACCTGCTTTTTTTTTTTGTTGTTGTTGGTTTAAACACTTCCTCTGTTTGCCTTGCTGTTCAAATAATGTGATCCCCGAGTTGCATGCACTGATTTTGCCAACTGTTTACACCACCCCTGGGTTCTGTTTGCTCTTTATCCAGAGCAGCAGCAACCTTTGTCTCCTGTGAGATGGATATTGGGTTGTTTCTAGAGCACCTTCTGCCTCCAGAGCAGCTGAACATTGGCAGAAATTTGCCACAATTATTGCAACTGAAGGTGCTGATGTGTTTTCCCTTTGTTCCAGTAAAGTATTACTGGGATTTCCTAGCAATGGACTCACAGATATGCCCGGGCTGCTCTTTCCTGTGTCACAGTAGACAAGGTCAGAATGTTACCTCAGGATTCAGAAATATGCTTGTGTCTTATAATGGATTATTTGTTCATAGTTGCTTTAAATTCCCATGGGGAAACTGATGTTTTCTCTGTGAATCATTTCTGGCAGCTATACCTATCCTTCCCTGGAATAATTATGACCTAGACAGCATCAAGGGAGGAGTATTTGCTTCAGTGAGTGAAACATTTCCACTTAGGAAGTAAATAATGCTGCTCTGGCAAGGTTCAGCCTGCAAGAGCACTGTAATTCATCTCATAAAGGTTTTGAACAGTCCTTTATTCTTGTTATGCATCTCCCCTGCAGAGCAGATGGGAATGCAGAATGCATTTGGTGCATCCTTGTGTGGAAAATGGAATATTCACATTAGGAAGACGGCCTTGGATCAGCCAGCAAGGGGCTGGTGGGGTCTTTGCAGCCCAGACAACCCTGTGTTCAGCATCACAGGAGCACATTGAGCTAGAGCAGCATCCAGGGGTGGTGGGAAGGGGCACAACGTGGGGGTTTGCCCTGTCTGTGGGTCCCACCTTTCTGGGCCAAGGTTGGTGCTGAGCTCCTGGACTGCCCTGTTCAGGTCACTGTCTGTCATGTGCCAGCCTGCCCTGCTGTTTCCAGGTGGCAGGGGATTATCCTCCTTTGTGCTGCAGAGACTTCAATTTTATGGGTTTGTGGCACAGCCTGGAACGTTCTTTTGCGACGGATAATTGCTGGAACTGGCACTTCCTTCCTGGAAATGCTGGGAGTTGTGATGGAGCCTGTGCTGATTCATTCATTCATTCCTTCCCGGGGAGAGGAAGAAGAAGGTCCAGTGAAATGGCATAAAACCCTTTAGGCTGGGAAGTGTCACTCTGTCCTCATGTAAGATATCTTGTGGTATTTATTGTTTCCTTCCCTAAGCATGCAATTCCTTTTCCCTCTGTTATTACCTACCCCACCTACCACCCATTCACTCAGACAAAACCAGGAAGGATGGTGGTGGTTGTTTTCAAGGAAAAGGCATGTAGGAATAACTGAACTAGGTTTCTCTTGCACCTTTGCTTTGTTGGATGCTCCCATTTGTTTTCTCAGGCTCTCGACTGGTTCACAGCAGCCTTTAAAAAAAAAAGCAGTTCTGCCTTTCAGTTGAAGGAATAAATAGTCCACTTTATTCATCTCTGATCTGGAGGAAGAGGGGGATCACACAAATCTCATTAGGCCCCGCAATGCCTTCTGAAAAGGATATTCTTTGGTGATTCCTGCTTTCATGAAGACAGTAAACACTGGTGCACCTTCAGCTCAGCAATGTTACATCCACCTCCACTGCTCTCAGTGGAAGAGTCGCCCGAGGCGTCTTTTGGTGCTGATTAGAACGAGAGATGACGGGAGGTTCACGAGGACATTGGGGTTTGATGTTGCTCTCGTGTGACAGGTGTCTGGATGTCACAGCCATGCGTGGCAGGAAAAGTCTGACGCTGCAGAGGTGCTGGAGCTGAGCAGGAATCGGCCCCTTCCTGCACGCCAGAAACACGGTTTTGCATCAAACGACTCCCCCGCATGTTCAGTCGGGGCTCTGGGGCTGGAGGAAGGGCTTATTTTTAGGTTCTTGGTGGTTTCAGTTGCTTTATTGGGTGGGTGGGGGCATCGACAGCACGTCACAGGGCCCGGAGCTGCTCCTGTTGCTGTGTCTGAGCACGTCCCTGAGCTGGGCCAGGATTGTCACCCTGACACTTGTCACCCTGGGCTGAGCTGCTCCGTGTCGTGGCAGCGGGCGAGGTTTGCTTTTGGCATCTGCACTCTTTGGCCCTTGGCATTCTGTTGGGTCTCCATTTTCAAATTTTTGAGACAATATTGGAGGTTATGGAGGGGGACCCAGCGATGCCACAGTAGATTTTTACGGGTCCTAAATGTTGAAAGCCACGCTCTTCTTCTCTGTCTTGTTATCGTGGTAAAGAGAGAAACCAGGGTTTGATGATCTGATTCAATTCAAAATTGAGGATGTGATGCATCTGTGTGGTATTCACCTCATTTACCCATTGCCATGGCAACAGTTGGGAAGGCTGTCCCAAGCTTTAACTGATCCCAGCACAAAATCTGCTCTGCTTGTTGCAGGTAAGCAATAATAGCCCTTCCCTGTTCCTGCTCATTGATAAATAGCAGGGAAGGACTGAAATTTATCTGACATTGGCAATGTTTTTAAAAACCGCAGGGAAAACAGACAAACGTTTCTTTCAAGTGCAGTTTTCAAACTTCCTGTGTCCTCGAAATGAAACCAAAACTAACTTTGAGGGCAAGTGAAACTGCAGGGTTAAGGGATGAGGTGCAGTGATAAGTGATGAGGTTCATATGAAGGGTCTTCCTGAAAAATAGGTAGGTTTTGACTTTTTATTGCTAAAATCACAGGGCTGGTGCTTTCCTGGACATTTATTCCAACTCTCTTTACTGGTTTTTTTTGTTCCTGTTGCCGGTGGCTGTTGCATTTATTCCTGAGTTTGGAGTCAAGGGCTGGTACTGGGGTGTGTAAAGACTCCTTGCCCAGTTCTCTTCCCTCACACACAGAGCTCTGGAATAAGCATTTGGATGTTATTACAGATGATTATGTGCCTTGGAAGTCTGGCTAGTTTGTGTATCATTCCCACCTGCGCTAAAGCTGTGAGGATCCCTGTTTTTAATAAAGTACATTTACTCGAATTTGATTTTTTAAATATTACTTAACTAAAGCAAAAGAGTACTTAAATATTTTACAAACGATTCAAATAATTATTTTAAAGCAAATATTATTTAAATTATCTTAATATGAATAGTTTAAATAATTCTTTAAAAATATTATAGTTGAATAAAATAAATGTGTGTAGTTGGTGGGTCAGGCTTGTCCTGTGCCAGGTTGTTCTGGGAGGGGAGATGTGACATGCTGGGTGTTACCCACGTGTGGATCCCTGTTTTTAATCAAGTTCATTTACTCCAATCTTAGCTTTTAAATATTACTTAACTAAAGCAAAACAGTACTTAATTATTTGGATTGTTTGTAAAATATTTATTTTAAAGCATTTTACCAGAGCAAATATTATTTAAATCATCTTAATGTAAATAGTTTAAATAATTCTTTAAAAATATTATAGTTGAATAAAGTAGGTGTATGTAGCCAGCAGGTCAGGCCTGTCCTGTGCCAGGTCATTCTGGGAGGGGAGATGTGACGTGCTGGGTGTTACCCACGCGTGGATCCCCATTTTTAATAAAGTCCCTTTGCTCCAATCTTATATTTTAAATATTACTTAGCTAAAGCAAAACAGTACTTAAATATTTTACAAACGATCCAAATAATTATTTTAAACCGCTCTACTAAAGCAAATATTATTTAATATAAATAGTTTAAATAATTCTTTAAAAATATTATAGTTGAATAAAGTAAATGTGTGTAGTTGGTGGGTCAGGCTTGTCCTGTGCCAGGTTGTTCTGGGAGGGGGGATGTGACATTCTGGGAGGGGGGATGTGACGTCCTGGGCAATACCCACGTGTGCCACTGTGCCAGGTCGTTCTGGGAGGGGGGACGTGACGTGCTGGGTACGTTTATTTTTACGTTTATATAGAAACGTATTTATATGTCAAATTAATTTAATATATAAACATGCTGGGCATTACCCCGTTGTGTTCCAGGCGTGCTGACCATGCTGCTGCCCCTGCCCGTGTGCCAGCCCCGGCGAGGGGCAGAGCTGTAGGGGTTGCCGAGCACAATCCATGGACGTGGAGCCCTGTGCCAGCATGCAGGTGGGCATGCGGGTGGTGCGCGGCGTGGACTGGAAGTGGGGCAGCCAGGACAGCGGCGAGGGCAACGTGGGCACCGTGGTGGAGATCGGGCGCGCCGGCAGCCCCACCACCCCCGACAAGACCGTGGTGGTGCAGTGGGACCAGGGCAACAGGACCAACTACCGCACGGGCTTCCAGGGGGCCTACGACCTGCTGCTCTATGACAACGCCCAGATCGGTGAGTAGGGTAAGGAAAGGGGGATTAGGAACTCCTGCTTTATGGCAACAGCCACATTGATGAGTATGACATGGACAGGGGGCTTAGGAACTCCTACTCTGTGGCAACACCCAAATTGAGGAGTATGGCATGGACAGGGGGATTATGATCTCCTACTCTGTGGCAACACCCAAACTGATGAATATGGCATGGACAGGGGGATTATGATCTCCTACTCTGTGGCAACACCCAAATTGATGAGTATGGCAAGGACTGGGGGCTTAGGAACTCCTGCTCTATGGCAACACCCAAATTGAGGAGTATGGATGGCAAGGACAGGGGGATTATGATCTCCTGCTCTGTGGCAACACCCAAGCTGAGGAGTATGGCAACAACAGTGGGCTTAGGAACTCCTTCTCTGTGGCAACACCCAAATTGATGAGTATGGCAAGGACAGGGGGCTTAGGAACTCCTGCTCTATGGCAACACCCAAATTGAGGAGTCAGGCCATTCCCTGGCATCCTGTCACTGCCCAGCACAGAGACACATCACACGTGTTGTACCTACACAGGTCACACATATCACTCACGTTCTATTACTGCATCACCTTCAACACACACACAGTACATGATTTTTTCCTTCAAGAAAGGTTCTAAGAGCCGGTTTCTCTGGATTTTGGGTGAATCCCGCATTCCTTTGCCCCTGTGCTCTCCCAGGTGTCCGTCACCCCAACATCATCTGTGACTGCTGCAAGAAGCACGGCATCCGTGGCATGAGGTGGAAGTGCAAGATGTGCTTTGACTACGACCTGTGCACTCAGTGCTACATGAACAACAAACACGACCTGTCCCACTCCTTCGAGCGCTATGAGACGGCACATTCACAGCCGTGAGTCCTGCCAGCCAGGGGGAGCTCTGGGGGGGCTCTGGTCCAGAAGGGTGGTCTCCAAAATGGGGTTTGGACCCCCCAGGGGTGTGCAAAACCATCTGCCAAAGTGCAGGGATGATGTGCAGCACCTCACTAGTACATGTCTGTATCATTTATATAGAAATAAATGTATTTCTATATAATTTATGGAGAAATAAATGTATTTCTATATCATTTTAATAGAAATTTCTATATCATTTTAATAGAAATTTCTATATCATTTTAATAGAAATTTCTATATCATTTTAATAGAAATTTCTATATCATTTATATAGAAATTTCTATATCATTTATATAGAAATAGATTTAGTTCTATATAATTTACGTAGAAATAAATATTTCTATGTAATTTACGTAGAAATAAATGTATTTCTACGTAATTTACGTAGAAATAAATGTATTTCTACGTAATTTACTTAGAAATACATGTATTTCTACGTAATTTACGTAGAAATACATGTATTTCTATGTAATTTACGTAGAAATACATGTATTTCTGTATAAATGTAAAAATGTATTTATATAAAAACATGTCTATATTTATATATAAAACAAAGTTTTATATCTGAATGTGTGTACGTTTATTTTTACATTTATATAGAAATGTATTTATACGTCAAATTAACTTTATATATAAATGCATGTTTATATTTTATGTATTTATATAGAAATGTATTTGTATTTTTATATAAATGCATTTTTATATAAATAAATGTGTATTGGGGAGCGCTCAAAATGTTTTGACTCCTTGGCTCACGTGATCAAAAAGGTTTGGGGGCTCTGTCCTACAGAACAATGTAAGGCTGGATTGGGCACTTTTATGAAGCTGCTTGAGAAAAACACAGCAAATAGAAATCAGAATTTTTCTGGCAAGTTTGATTAAGGTGAAAATTAAAAATATTTGTCTGCTCTGGTTTTACTTTTCCTCCCCCCCCAATTAAATAATTTTAGACATGGTTTGCTGTTCTCGGATAACTGAGGTTGACACTCCCAAATTGCTGGGTCTGAACTGTTCTCTGAAGAACAACAACTTCTCATTTGCTCTTGCACTGAGGCCTCTGGAGCAGCATCTGTAATTCCGTGCTCGTTCCTGCTCCCTTCTCCTGCCCCGAGGAAGAACTCAAAAATAGTCTCCACGGTGGTTTTATTTGCACCTCCTCAAGCAGGCACAGAGATGAATCTTTTAATCCTCTTGCCTTCAGGAGGAGTCATGAGAAATCAGCTTTTCTCTGTCGTTGATTTTCCTTTTTTTTGCCTCCCTTTGAAAATATCCCAGTGCTTTGCATGGAATGGGAAGTGTAATTACTGTGCTGAAGGCAGCGGTGTGGGATTTGCAGCTGCTTTTCCTGCCTTATGGGAAGCTCTCCATGGAGTTAATTACCAGAGCTGTGCCGGTGTGGTTGAGCCAGAATTCCGAGTGCAAGCCAAGGGATGGATTTTTGTCCAGAGAATCTCCCCTCAGAGCTCTGAGGCTTGTGTTTATCCACCAGATTAGGATGTTTCTGGAGCTTGTGTTAAATATGACAAGCCAGGCAGATCCTGCTTGGAAATGAGCTCCATGATTTCAGTGTATATATAAAAATATATATATATAAAAATAGGCATGTAGGGTTTTTTCTCTTTCTATTAATATTATAATCATCTCCAAGTAGTTACTCAGGGATGCCTGACTGTGTCTTTTCTTTGAGCTTAAGGTACATAATCCTACTCACATTTAAAGAAAAAAGAAAAACAAAGGTAGGCAGCAGTTGCTGTGAGAGGCTGCAGAGCAGCCCAGATTTTCTTCCCTGGGCATGGGATCTCCCAGCCCTGCAGAGCTGAATTCCCTTGGGAACACCCCGATCAAAAAGGCAGATTTCTAAGGCAGTTTCTCCCTCGTTTCCTTTCCTGAGGAATCCCAAGGGAGAAGGATGCACCGAGGGCAGTTTTTCCTTTCAGGGCTGTGCCCAGACTGTGCCTCTGGAATTGGGCATCGGGTGTTGCTGTCAGGGAGAAAAGGGAGTCTGGAGGGTGGCCAGGAAAGCTGCCAGACCCAGTGCTGTCCTGGGTGAGTTGTTTGACTTTCCCAGAGCACTGCAGCACTGCTCTGGAATGTGCTGGAAGCACTGGAGGACTCTTTGGAGGTGGATGCCCATTGTAGCAAAAGGCTGATGGTGCTTTGGTGGTTTTTGGGTTGGGTTGGGTTGTTTTTTTTCCTAAATTACTTTGCCTTTTTTTTTTCTTTCTGTAAATGTGGCTCTTTTTTTTTTTTCTGTGAACGTGGCTCATGGAGTGGTTAGAGAAGATGTGATATAAATTAATTTTATTTGATAAAAAGAAGTCTAGACACGGGCCAGAACGTGACACCCAGTCTTTGTTGAAGTAGCACTATTCTGATTTACATCACTGTGTGTTGGCAGGAGCAATGACCTTAATGCCAAGCAGCAAAGAAAAAAAAAGGAGGAAAAAAGGCAAAGGGGTGTGTGTGTGACTTCGGGGACACAGCATGAGCCTGTCAGATGTGGCAGTGGCTTCTGGGAGCCTCAGTAAGGGGTAAGGGTAAAGCAGCAATAGTTGTAATTGGATAATAAAACACCTCTCCTGCTGTTCTGTGTGGCAGGTCCTCATTCCAGCTGAGCTTAGGGATGGAGAGGAATTAGAAATCCTCAAGGAGAAAGCTTCCAGCTGTGGGAAGCTGCAATTTTAAAGATGAATGAAGAGTGCATATTGTGGTTCTTAGGAGTCACTCAGCTGTTGGAGCAAACGGCTCAGGAGTGGGTTTTGTTCCAGGCTGAGTTGGATGGCACAGGGCAATGTGTGTTTTGTGCAGGAGCTTTTGTACAGGGAGCTGGCAAATTGAATTCCCCAGAAATGCCTTTCAGTGCAGGAACAAGGAAGAAGCAGGAACATCTTTGCTTTAATGCAGATGCAACCCTGTGATTTGTTGCTCTGGTGTTCCGGAGGTTGCTCTGCATTAAGAATTGAATGTCCTCATATAAGAAATAAAAAAAAATAAGTGAAACAAAGGGCCTGGATCACCTTTGAACAGTGCCATAGAAAGGATTTCTTTGGAATAAGTGAGGTCTGAGCTGTACAGACACTGCCTCAGGCAGTGCACCATCCTTTTCGAAGAACAGGAATTGGATGGCTCATGACTCACTGCACTGTTGCTTAGAGCACTCATCTCTCTCTTTTTTTTTTTTTTTTTTGCTAAATAAAGTAGAAGATAAAACCTTTGGCAGTTCCCTAAGGCCCCCCAAAAATCTGTGTATTTAAAAAGACACACAGGTAAATGCTGTGTGGGTTTGGGTTTTGTTGTTGAGTGGCTGTGAAACGCAGGACGAGTCTCCTTTGGAGACCAAAATTGTCCCTCCTCCTTTCTCTGGCAGGGAATGGGGATCTTTTGGTTCTTCAAAAGGAGCCTCAGGAGTGTCTTGCTCTCAGAACCCAGGCAAAATGCTGTGATGAGCCCTCAGGAGTGTTAATTAGTCGGAAAGCTGAAGGGGAGTGGATGCAGAGGCATCCCAACAAGTTTGACAGCATCCCATAATCTTGGATTTGAATAAGGAAGTTGGGGTTGCTCACACAGTCCTTGGGTTGCCACTGGTGAGATCAAATGTAGGACTGTGGGATGGAGCTCTCACCTCAGCTCTTTCTTGAACCAGAGATGAAGAGCTGGGAGTTTCCAGTCCCTCAAGGCCAACACGTTGCTCCTCGTAGCAGGTCACTAATCCTGGGATTTAGGAGGATTTAACCCCAGACAGACGCTGCAGAGGGTTCCCAATCAGTTTTCCAAAGAGGCTTTGAAGACTCCTTTACCTGAAGGCTATTTCAGGTCTTAAAATGACCTGGGTTTGAACCTCTGGTGGCAGGAAGTACCGTTGGGTTTTTTATTAGAGGTAATCTCTTCCTGACCTCTTCCAATTGTTTTTCTATTTTATTGGTCCTTTTTGGTTTGAGTTTTGTGGCTGCTGTGGGAGAGGCTCTCATCCTTGGCTTAGAAGGATGAACAACTCAGTTTTACTGAAGAGAGCTTTTTTTTCAGAGTTGTGTATCCATTTGGTGAATTTGTGCTTGGTAATTGGAAGATAAATCAGTGTCTGGAAGCAGGGCAGCAAAGCAAAACTCATCAAGTTTATTTTAGGGCTGCAATAGTCAGGCATGCTCTGGTGATTCTGCAAATAATCAAGCCTGAGATAATCTACCTCTCATACAAAATATTAGTGTTATTATATCTCAGTGCAAAAGCAGCACTGGAATTTTGCTTGGATCACCTGCTCGGGGATGGGGCTGAGCTGAATTTCAGTAGGGGATGTTTTACCCAGGCTATTTTCTAGGCTTCACTCACCAGTAAATCACAACAATTTTTCACAAGTCCTGTTTTTTCTTCCCTGGCCAACAATGGAGTTGGAGGAGCCAGCAAACCACACAGGGAAATATTCTGTGTAACCAAGCACAAGAAGTACAAATATTTTCTCACATTGTGTTTTATCCTGTAGTCAAAACAGAGAGTGCAGTTATTTTCAGCCCTAATTCTTAAACCAGCTCTGTCTAGTCTGGTTACCAGCTGGATTTGGAAATCAGATACAGGAACAAGTGCATGCTCTGGTTTGGGTTTGCCTGTGCAGTGCAGACCCATTCAAGGCAGCTTTAATAATCCAACCTTCCATCTGGGGCTGCTTGGACTGTGAGCCTGGACTAATCCAGCAGCTGAGTGACAACTGCTGGGTGTTTGATTACTGGGCAATAAAGGGGATGCAGGTTTATTTACGTAGTAACCTCTTCAACATGTGTTATTTATGCAGTGGCGGTTTAAGCTGTTGGTCTCAGAAGTTTTGGTGGCTGTTGAATCAAATCTGACTCTTCTGTGATGATGTGTTTGTTTCCTAACCTGTAAAAAAATTAATTTCTTAATGTCAAATATTTATTAATTTTTTCTATCAATGAATTAATATAATTTTACTTTAAAAAAAATCATTATTTGCCAGATAAAATACCAAACTGTCATGTCATCATGGGTAGGCTTGCCTCCTTAAAAAAAGCCATGTGCATGGCAGAACACCATTGCATATCCCCACATTAAGACTTCCCTTGTTTTATTTTGGAATATTCTGTTTGATTTGTAGAGCAGGGGTTGCATTTTAATGACATGTTTTATCTTTATCTTTTGTGGAATTACACGATCCAAACTGTGAGCAAGAGAAATCTTCACTAAAACATCCTCAACCTGTGTTTTGAACTGATAGTCATGTTTAAAGGATGAGGACAAGGCATTTATTTCACTTTGTGTGCTCAGGGGTGCTTCTGTGTTGGTCTGAAACCTTTAGTCTGGTCTGAGCTTTGGAGGTCACCCAAAAAGACTGAGCTTTTAGCCCAACCCAGACCTGAGTTATAAAGACACAGCTGGTTTTGTGAAGAGCTGCTGCCTTGTCAAGGAAGGACAGGATTGAAAAGGAAGAATCTTGGTAAAGACAGTTCCTGAAATAGGTTTCCGTGCTCCTGATCCCTCACCAGCGCCCTTGTCTTAGTCTGGTTCATGCTTGAGCAACCAGCAGCCGCTGCCATCTGTCAGAATTGCCTTCCTTTATCCTCTGCTGGAAGTGCTTCAGGAAAAGCTTTGCTGGGGGGGATTAGAGAATCTAGAATTTCTTGCAGGTCAGTTTTTATCTGTGGTTTCTGCGAGGTCTTTGTGTTGATTTTCTTGAGTTTGCCCTGTATAGGTCTTTGCACATCCTGGAAGGGATGTGAGGTTTGTGTCTGCTGTGGTTTTGTGTCTGCCGTGAGCTGAAAGTCTCGTTTACAGCTGTGCCTTTCTGAAGAGATGAACATGGTATTTATGGCCTGCTGCCTTTCAGGGTGTCCATCCCTTCTGCTCTCCAGCCCCGTGCTTGTCTTTTTGGGATAAGAACTTTCTGCAGTGGAAAAGTCTCTATCTTGCAAAATACCTCAGCTGTTCCTGGTGTGAAGGGTCTCTGACTCCTGCAGGGTCTGAGGTTGTTACTGCAAGTTAAAAGCAGTCTGTTTAAACTTCTCCAGGTCAGTTCATTTGGGTCCCACATCCCTCCAAAGCCAGGGTGGTGCTGCTGTTGGAGCTGTGTGGAGCAGAGCTCCCAGGGATGTGAAAAGCTGTGTAAGCACCTCGGTGAAACTTGAGCACAGGCAGAATATCCCCAGGGAGTGGTTCCCAGCCTGCTGGAGAGAGACATAACTTCATTCTGTGCAGTACACGCTCCCAAGTGCTTTCTGGACTCTACAGTAATTTAATATCATTGGAATTTGTAGGGCAGAAATGGCTGCAGACTTTGGCTGTCGTAATTAACGTTGTTATTAAAGGCAGCATCGCGGTGATTAAATTTATCCCGAGGGTATTTTAGCATCACACGAATAACTTGGGTTGTTACCCAGTGTTTGGAGCAAAACATGTTGAATTAGATTAAAATCTAAGACACATTGGCTCAGGACAGCAGGTTCTTGCATCGTTCCTGGGTGCTGGTTCAAGGCAGGGTCATTGTTTTTGGGAGGCTGGGGAAGGAAGGTTGTTCTGATGGGTTGTCTCCAGCAAGAGGTGGAGTTTCTTAACATTTTTCTTCCTTTCTGAAGTGGTTGGCTTTGTTTTCTTGGTCTCCAGCCACAGATTTCACTGAAAGTGGCGGGTTAATGTGAGGGCTGTTGAGATGGGAAATGACTCCTGTTGTGTGACTACACAAAAAGGGAACTTCTGCTAGGAATAGAAGGAGTCGTGGTTGTTTTGCTCTTTAAACATCTTGCTTAAGCTTAGCTCAGTGCTTTATTTTACTATCACTGAGGATCTTTGCATTGAAAGCTACCTTGAGAGAGTAGGGTTTGCAGGAGAGAAGTGTATTTTTATCACTCAGTCAGGGCTTGACTGAGAGATCTTTGATGAATTGTTAGAAAAACACGCAACAAAATACAGTGAAAACAGTGTTGTAGCTGAGCTGTTTCAGACACAGTGCCCAAATCCATGCTGGTTTTTGAAGCTGGTCTCTGGTGCCTGACACAGAGCAATAAAATGAATGCTGATCAGCATCTCTTTTTAGCTGAGCTTTTCCCTATCCCACTCTCATTATCTCCTTTCATAACAACATCCAGCCTCGCTGGTGCTTAAACCAGGCAAAATCCCAACCATCCAAATAAAGGGTCTTCCTCTTGCTCCTGTTGAGCTGCAGTGTGGACAATGAACATTCCACGATTATAAGAGCCTGTGTCAATAATCTCTCCCTCTTTTTAAACACATCAGGTTGTAAACCAGAGGTGGGAGATCCACCAACAGGTTAAGGAAGGTAAAAGACTTAAGCATTTGGTGGATAAGTAAACAGTAAGTTCAGGCATAAGCTTTTTATCCTTCTGAGTCTCCACCTTCTCTCTGTAGGTATTAGATGGAAAATAAATACAGTGTTCTGAGGTCAGCCCTACCCCCAGTGAGCTTCCCCTCCCCTTGCCCTGTGGAACAGCTGCTGAACTTGGTTTGCTCTGTCTGCTCTGGGAGTTGCCAAGAGCCTGTCAGGCTCCAGGGCTATGGATTGGGGCACCTTGGCAGTCACCTCGAAAAGTGGATTGTACCCCGGGTGAGCAGCCCAAACAGCTCCCTGAGGATTTTGGTGGCTTGGGTAGCTCATGAGAAGGCTTTCTGCTGGGGAGCAGAGTGGGCACAGCACGCTCAGAGCCAGCAGAGGAGCTGCTGTGACACTATGGGAATTGGAAGCTGCTTTAACAGGACGTCAGACCCCCTGTTCACTATCACGTAGGTACCTTCCCTTTGTCTGTGAGCCGGATCGGGGTGTGTGTCTGGGGTGTGGAGGGCACATGGAAAGGGCTGGGAGATCCTGGGAATGGTCTAGGCATGGTCTGATCTGCTCTGCTTTTCAGCAGGTGAACTGTGCTGTGCAGGTCAGGGTATGGGATGTGCTGAACTCCTTGTGACTCCAAAGCATTAATGCAGTGGGCACCCCAGTAAAGCCCATGAGCATCCCCTTAAAATGAGGGATAGCCCTCAAATGACAGACCTTGGTTGCATCCGAGCTTTGTACAGTGTCAATAATAACAATAAATTCATTTGTTTTCTCTCATTTTGTTTTCTTCCAGAGTCCTGGTGAGTCCTCGACAGAATTTGACTCGCATCACCTTGAAAGGGACTTTCCAGGGGGCTAAAGTGGTCCGTGGCCCTGACTGGGAGTGGGGTAACCAGGATGGTAAGCTGCTTTTGGGATGTCCTGTAAAAAACACCATTGGATTTGCTTTTAAATATAAATTAGATAAAATGTTATTTTTTCTTTTTGGCAAATTGAAAGTGCATGTGCTGAGCAGCAGCTCCCGGGGAGCTGCTCAGAGGATGCAGGTTGCTGCTGTTTAGGGTATTAAATATTCCTTGTTTTCTTGGATTGGTTATTTGTCACATATCTGTGACATAAACCATATGCATTCATTGAGGGTGTGGGAGGGAAGTTTTGCTGCTCCTGTTTCACAGACATGAAAACTCCTGGGAACCACCCTGGAAGTTCTTGTATAAAACTATAAGTGTATGTGATGATAAACAAAGACCTATCTTTTCCTGAAAAAGCTTTCATTTATGGTGGGAGTAAGGGTTGTCTGACTTTGTGTGCAGTACTCCTTTCTGCTCTGGAGTTCTGTGGAATATCCTTATTTGGACACTTTTAAGAACAGTGAGGAGAAAGGCTCCAAGGATGGTTTCCCATGGAACATTAATGAACTGTTTGCTGTGGTTACTGGAGAATGGTTTCTGCTTTCAGTAGGATTTGTAACTTCAGGCTGAAAATGCAGAGGGACAAAAATGCCTTTTTTTTAGAGCTGTTCTTGGGTGTAATGACTGTACTTAATTCACTGATACCAATTTCTGTTAGTGCTGCAGGGTTCAGGAAGCTGTACTGTCCATTCCTATTCCAGAGCCCTGTTCACACTGCAATGTTTACAGCTCCTTTTGTCCCTTAAGAATTAAGTCAGAAGTTCAAAGGTTTCCAAAGTTGACTCTGCCATTTATTGCAGCTCTGGGTTCAGTGGAGGACGTGGATGCTTGCAGGGTCTGAGAGTAAAAGCAGCTTATGCTCAATACAGCTCATCCATCCTGCTGAGATCAGATCGACATTTACATGTCTGAGACTCACGTTGCTTACGATGGTGGTGACCTGAAACCAGTTGCACGAGCAAGACCAGTGGGAGGAACCCTAAAAACCCTAAATCCAGCCCCTCAGGTGGTCTCTGAGCAGCACTTGCCCTGGTTTTGGTGGAGCTGCCCCCACCCACAGCTGTTTGCTCCTCTTGTCATTGATAGGACTGGCACTAAAGCCCACTGGTTTGTGTTGTGCTTTTTAGTCAGATGCGCAGTTAGATGAGGAATTAAACTCCTTTAAGCTGTTAAATTTCAAGACTTTAGAGGCAATTAGAAGCCTCAGACAGACAGATGTTGCTGTCCCCGTTTGGGACTTGCCCAAGTGACTTGGCAGCAGAGTCGGGTTGGGAATCTGCAAACTCTGACTTCCTTCACGAGGTTCAGTGTTCATAGGCTGTTTGTCTCTTGGATGACAACATGTCCCATGTGCCCAGCCAGACTTATCTCCACGCACATATCCTCCTGTTCTGGGTTTTTCCAGTGCACTGCTCCTTGCTTGGGCAGGTGAAGAGAAGTACCAGAACAAACTTTATTTGATGCTCTTCCACCTGGCTGGCGTTGGGGAGAAATTAAAGACCTCGGGTGGGTTTTACAGCACCGTTTTTTGTCTTGCCACAGTGTGGTGCCGTGACACTGTGTGTTCCCTAACTTAGGCCATGCACACCGGGAGGAATTCTACACAGAATTCAGCTTTTTCCACATCTGTACTCCAAAGTAGAGGGCTGGCTGGCTTTCAGTGGGTTTAACAGGCTCCTAGTTGGCCAGACTGAGTTGTCTGATTTAATTGTCATGATTTAATTTTCCTGATTTTCCCTTTTTTTCCCCCCCCAGGTGGCGAAGGTAAAACCGGCCGCGTGGTCGATATCCGCGGCTGGGACGTGGAGACCGGGCGCAGTGTGGCCAGCGTGACGTGGTCTGACGGGACCACCAACGTCTACAGGGTGGGGCACAAGGGGAAGGTGGACCTGAAATGCACCGTGGAGGCTTCAGGGGGCTTCTACTACAAGGAGCATCTCCCAAAATTAGGTGTGTGTAGAGACAAGTCGCCCGCTGGGAAATTCGGATGCTGTTGGGTGACACTGAAGCCGTTTTGCTTGGAAGGCAGAAAACCAGCAGGTGGTTTTGTAAAGTTCCTACACAATGTGTGCCATTGAAGCTGAACATGAGCCAGCAGTGTGCCCAGGTGGCCAAGAAGGCCAGTGGATCCTGGCCTGGCTCAGGAACAGTGTGGCCAACAGGTCCAATGAAGTGATTCTTCCCCTGGACTCAGCGCTGGTGAGGCCACCCCTGGAGTGCTGTGTCCAGTTCTGGGCCCTCAGCTCAGGAAGGACATTGAGGTCCTGGAGCAGGTCCAGAGAAGAGCAACAAGGCTGGGGAAGGGACTGGAGCACAAGTGCTGTGAGGAGAGGCTGAGGGAGCTGGGGCTGTTCAGCCTGGAGAAGAGGAGGCTCAGGGGAGACCTCCTCACTCTCTGCAACTCCCTGACAGGAGGGGGGAGCCAGGTGGGGGTTGGTCTCTTTTCCCAGGCAACTCTCAGCAAGACAAGAGGGCTCAGGGTCTTCAGCTGTGCCAGGGGAGGTTTAGGTTGGATATTAGGAAGAATTTCTTTGCAGAGAGGGTGATCAGCCATTGGAATGGGCTGCCCAGGGAAGTGGTGGATTCTCCGTCCCTGGAGGTTTTTAAGAAGAAACTGGATGTGGCATCAGTGCCATGGGCTGGGAACCACGGTGGTCGTGGATCAAGGGTTGGATTTGATGATCTTGGAGGTCCCTTCTAACCCAGCAGATTCTATGATTCTATGAAGACAAGTGGCTTGTGTGTGAACCTACTACTGGATTTTGGAGTGGTTAATGAAACAGTGCTGTAGTAAAACCATGAGGTGCCCACAACCGTGTCCCAGAGAGGGATCTTCTGCCGAGGCAGCTCCCTGCTGGAAATGCAGGAAACTCCCACTCTGTCACAGAGAATTCAACCCAGTGTCAGTTCTGTTAACCCAGAGCTTTTAGTTCTTCAGGCAGGCAGTGGTTCAGCTGGTGTTCACTGTGCTTTTACAGAGCAAATGTCGTTGCTCTGGTGGGTCCAAAAGTGTGTTGGAGGGGACGTGACCAAAAGGAGAGTTCTGAGAATGGAGCTGCCAAATACTTGCCTGGGAGAGAGAGATTAGAAAAAGTGATTGGAAAAGGTGATGTCTGTGTTGGCAACATGCTGCAATTCACATTTAACTCCAAGGAAACTATTTGTGCTCTTGGACTTGCAGCTTTTCTTTACCAATGCATAATTTAGTTGTGTTTATTTTGGGTCCATCTTTTGCTCCCCTGAAAGAAAACAAGAGGGGTCTGTTCCTGTGTTTGCAGCAGCAGAATCAGGCCTTTCTCATTCTTTCCTCTCCCTGAGCAGCTTGGCAAGAGCACGAGGGAAGGGGAAGGTTGGATGGGGAGTTTATCCCAGTGGTGCAGCCTCTCTCTGCACGGGAAGGGTAGGAGGGGAAGGCACTCCTCAAAGCAAGTTATGTGGCTGCCTGTGGAAGAGAACTTATTTTGGGTGCTGAGTGGGTGTGTCTGCTGAACACCAGCTGTGGGTGACTGAGCTGCTAAGAACAGCTCCTGATGTCTGCCATGACATGAGAGGCATCCTTCAAAGGCATTCCCTGCTCTGGGAAGGGACAGAATGTGTCTTGTCAGAGCTGCCTCATGTTTAATTCATAGAATTAGAGCTAAATCCTCTTGATTTCTCCACCTAGGGCATACCCCAAATAGAAAAGGGGGTGTTTTGCACCATTCTACCCCAATTAATGTTAATTTGCGGCCCTTGTTACAAAGCCAGTGAGGCACAGAGGTGTATTATTGCCTCCTGCATGTCTGTGGGTGGTGTTATTCCCCTCAGGAAAACCAGCTGAGCTGCAGAGGAAGGAGAGCACAGACAGACACCCATTCCAGCACGGGGACAAGGTGAAGTGCCTGCTGGACATCGACATCCTGAGGGAGATGCAAGAGGGCCACGGAGGCTGGAACCCCAAAATGGCTGAGGTATGAGGCTGGTTACTCCTCTGGGTAAAGTATCAGTCACTGTCTCAGCCTACACTGGTTAGGAAGCTACCAGAACATCTTTGTGTAACACGGTACCTCCTGCATTTATATTGAGTTAACTGAAGCCCAAATACAGATTTTTTTTTAGTGGTAGGACACTGGAGTCAGATTTATTTTTAGGCTCGGGTTTGTCTGACAGTTGCCTCGTGGAGCCCTGCACAAGAGTTGCTCAGAAGTCTTGGGAGCAAAAAAATAATGGCTGGTTTGTCTGTTTTTAAATGAGCCATGGACCTTTTCTTCGGGGTTCTGGATCCATTCCTTGTTTGGCTTCTTTGCTAATGGAAGTTATGTGTTTTGTCAACAGTGGGCTCTGTCCCTGGCCAGGGCTAAAATTTCTCAGCCCATATGATATTCTTGGAGCTTAGCCTGGTGTCTTGTCTTTAGATTGAAGAGCTCTCACTCTGCTGTCACCTGTTGTCTAAAAAAACCCAGATAGCAGAGGAAGTAAAGATAGAAGTGACACCTATTACTGTGGAATAGCACGAAGCAGTGCTATAAAATTATAAAAGTCACTTTATATGTGGCCCAACCTGCCCTGTAGGTGAGCAGGCATTTTGTAAATCAGGCTTTAAAATGTCGAGACAAACTGTGTCATTTCAGTTTCCATGTGGAAATCTGTTAACTGAGCATCAGCCTCCTGGTTTTTTTCAGCCTGGCAGGCAGGGACTTGGCATCTCCTGGCAGGAACTTTAAGAAGGCTGCCAGTGGAGCCAGGAATTTTTTATTCCATCCCCAAAGCTGTAGTTTTTGAATGTTGCTGTGTGGTTCCCCGGTGTCTGTTGGTTGTTAAAACCTCTGTGCTCCTGAATTCCTGTTGTTGGTGAATGCAGGTGTAGGGAGGGATATTAAACAGAGATTTTTATGAGATGTAAAACAGTAACTTCCTGTCATTTCAGAAATTGGTCCTTTTTGCCTCCTTCTAAACTATGAGCTGCTCAGGACCTGCCAGAACCAACAATTCTAGAACACTGCACTACACACAACTATACTTTATTTTGTCTCCTCTACCATGCCCCTTTTTTTCCCCCCTCTCAGAGTGTGCTTTGCTGGTATTCTAATGCAGAACAATGTTGTGATCTCTGCCCACCTTTGTCATTTGGGAAGAGGACAATTTGTGCTGCGTTTTCCAGGATTTTTTGCACTTTGTATTCCTACCCCCCTCCTCCCCCAATATGCTGCTACTTTAAAGTAGCTTCTTAAGGAGCCTTTCCCTGCTTTTGTAGACAAACAGTGGCTGCATCTCGTGTGAAGCAGGTTTGGGAGCTCTGTTAGTCTGTGGATTGGAAATGCTGGGTAATTTAGCCACCTATGCCTGCTTTCCCCACTATTAAGCAATGTGATTTATTTAGGGGCTTTCCCCTACTTTTTTTTCCCCCCTATCAAAAGTTCATTGGCCAGACAGGGACTGTGCACAGGATCACGGACAGAGGGGACGTCAGGGTCCAGTTCAACAGCGAAACCCGCTGGACTTTCCATCCTGGAGCCCTGACCAAGGTGAGTGCTGGGCTGGGCCAGGGCTGGGAATGCTGCAGGGAAGAGCTGTCCTTCAACCTGCTGTGCTGGGACATGGTGTGGCACAAGCAAGTGCTGAAGGAATGCCCTGCTGGGCCAAACACAGTGGTTTTGGGCAGAGCTCCCTGCAGCCCATCAGAGCTCAGGCCAGATGGTTGCAGGCAGTGGGAGTTGGGCTGCTGGGCTGGCCAGTTTGATGAGCTTCTGCATTTTAAATGTAATTTCTTCAGGTAAATTCCATTTCTTAATTCCAGCTTCTTTGATATGACAGTTTACCTACAGTAGCTCATCCTTCTGCAGCTGCCTTTCAGCCTTTTTCCACATAATTGCTATTTGATTTTGTTTTCTTCCATTTGATTTTGTTTTCTTCCATTTGATTTTGTTTTCTTCCTTTTGATTTTGTTTTCTTCCTTTTGATTTTGTTTTCTTCCTTGTTCCTGTGTCTCTGTGTTATTCTCCTTTTTTTACACCTTTATCTCACTTCTCTTTGATTCTTCTGGGTGACCTGAGTCTTTAATCCAACTCTTCTAATTTTGTGTCTGTGTTTCTAAAGCTCATAGCTCTGGCCTTCCCCAGAGGTTTGAAATGTGGATGATTAGAAACAGAGATAATTAGATATAGAAGAAGCTGCTGGAAGACCACAAAATTCTGAAAGACCTGACCAAGGTCACAATGCTAAAAACTCCAAAATCAAGGGAAAATGCAGTGTCAGACTGTTTTGCACAGAACTAGTCTGCTTTGAAAAGTGTGTTTTGACAGTGCTCCCTTCTTAGCTCAGTGAGCAGAGGGAGCATCTGGCATATTACCAGAACAGATAAACTCTGGTTTCCCTTTTCTCTTTTAAATAAAAAACAGATTTAACTCCCTTATTAAAGTGAATTAAAATCTCCAGTGCCAGGTCAGGTGTAGTGAGGAGATGGACCAAGGAAAGCCCCCTATTTTTATACTGGCATTAATTATAAATGGCTCGAAGAAGAACAGAAAGTTAGAAAACTGTCTGTTGCGAATTATTTCCCTGCTTAAATGTGCACTTGGCTTAAAAGAAAGTTACCCCAGCCCTTGGACTGTGTTTCTTTGGCAGTGCAGTGATTGCAGCTCTCTGGGTGGTTGTACTAATGGTTTGCAGTGCCTTGTTTTCTGAGTCGGGGGTGTTTTTTGAGTCAGTGGGCGTCGTGTTTGGTTGGGTTTCTGGGGTTGTTTTGGGGGTTTTTTTTTGTGGCTTCACTCCCCAGAAGCTTATAACTTTCTTTTTCTTGTAGCTCAACACGTTCTGGGTGGGTGATGTGGTCCGGGTGATCGATGACATGGAGACAGTGAAGCGGTTCCAGCCCGGCCACGGCGAGTGGACAGACGAGATGGCCCCTGTGAGTGCCCACCAGCCCCAGGAGTTTCCCCAAGCAATCAGGGAGAGTGGTGGGCTTGCACTGCCCCCCCCCAGACACTCCTGCTGGTCACTGAGTGCCCAGACCTTGCTGGGGCCCTGCAGAGTCCCTGTTCCCTCCTGCTGTTGGCTCCTGGTGACACGGTCGTGTTGCAGCACCCAAAGCAAACAGGGAAAGGGCAAGTCTGACCCAGGGTTTGGCTGCCACCAGCTCAGATAAGAGGTTTCGCTGACCAAAGTAAACAAGTCCTCTTACACCCTCCCTAATTCTCTGGAATGAGGCAGGGAAGTGTCCAAGTGGAGGAATGGTCTGATCAGACCAGTGTGGCTAAAAAGCGGGATACAGGTTAATTGCTCCTCTAGGAGCAATTAAACACCTGGAGGAAACCTTTCCTAGTCCCACTTTGATCAGTTCTCTGTGTTCTTTAAACCACATTTTGTTGTTTCACCACCTCCTTCCCCAGACATTTTTAAGGTGTCTGGGAAACCCTTCTGTGTAAAACCAGTAGGAGAGAAACTGGTGAGAACCTTCTGGTGCCCTCGAAGTGGGAGCTGCCTGCGAGTGTGTCCCTGTCCAGTGCTTCTCCTCACACAGCAGGGCTGCAACTTGGGGAAACCCTCTTAGGAAACATTGCTTTGGGGCTGAGACCTTCGAGAAACCACCTTCTCTTTCCTTGCAGACCCTGGGGCACATCGGGAAGGTGATCAAGGTCTACGGGGACGGAGATCTGCGTGTGTCGGTGGGAGGGCAGTCCTGGACCTTCAACCCTGCCTGCCTGACAGCCTACCAGAGGGAGGAGGAGGCAAACCTCATGACCACAGAGAGTGCAAAGGAGTCAAAGAGTGAGAGAGATGTCTGACCCTTCAGGGACCTGGGAACTCTTTGCTGCAGCTCTTTGGGCGGTGTTAAACTCCAGCTGTTCTTCCCCGGACAGAGCTCCAAGACCCAGCTGTGCCTTACTGGGCAAGGAAAGCTGGCCTTAACAGGAAAATACAGAATAAAACCCAGCTGTGCCTTACTGGGCAAGCCAAGCTGGCCAGCTGTGCCTTACTGGGCGAGCAAAGCTGGCCTGAACAGGAAAATACAGAATTTAGGACTCGGAAGTGCTGACCACAGCCCTGCCCTGGGTTCAGTATTTACCTTGTTCTATCTCAGTTTCCTGGTCCATCCTGTTTCCTGTACTAGGATACTAATTGTTGAAGGCTTGTGAAATAGTCCCAGGACAGTGTGTGGAAGTGTTGTGAAATCCACAATTATTTTGCCCAATCCACCCTGAAATTAAATTTGGGATCACATGGTGTGGAGGGGTTTTTTTTTGTCTGTTTTGCACATCTGCTCATAAATTTTTTTTGTGGCCTCACCATACTTACATCCTTTAGATGTCAGGATCATGTGGGAGAGAGGACAGACTTGCCAGGGTTTTTTTGTTTTGCTTTATAGATGGATCTTACACTCTTTGCTCAAGGTAGACTTGAAGGACAACTTGATATGAGCCCAGAGTTTTTCACTTTGCTCTGTCTGGAGAACTGTGACACCTCTGTCCTCTCAGGCACCCAAAACTGTGGAGTTACAGGTCCTTTCTGTTCCTCATTCAGGTACTTTGGTGGCTGTTCTGGAGAAGCTGCTGTCCCAGAAGACAGAGTCAGAGCATGCTGGGTGCCTGGTCATTTGTGCAGCCCTCAACAACACATCCAAGGTCCGGGAGCTCCTGCAGAAATACCCGGACAAGGCAAGTTCTGGAGACATCCTGAATGGCTGGTTTTTGTTGCTTTTCTGTCATAAAATTTTGTGGTCCACTGGGGAGAAGGATGGGAGAAAAATGATAGATTTTTCAGACCTGTTAATATCTCTTAAGAGCTGGAACATTATTTTGCTGCATTTTAGGGTTAAATGTGCATATTTTATGCCTCTAGTTTGTGGCATTAAATCTGAACTGGAATTAAGTCCTTACAGCACATTTCCAAAGCTGACTTTTCCCAGATTTCCTGTGTGGACACTGCACCTGCAGAATGAGGGGGAGAGGGGTTTATCTGTATGAAAACAGGAGGAGATACCCGAGTCTCTGTTGGAAAAGGAAGCCATGGGCTGTGTCTGGCTGTGTCTGTCCTTAGATGACCTTGCAAAATCATATTGTTGGAATCAGGAAAGAGAAAAGCTGCCCAGATCTGTGCAGTGTCTTATCTCATGTCTGACTGGAGCAGAGAACTGGGCTTGACTTGTTGCTGAACAATTTCTGTGCTTGCAGAGTGCCAAACTCAGGATCACAGTCTCCTGAAATCCCTGCTCTGTCAAGCTCCTTCAGGGAGGGGTTCAGGCTTTATAAACAGATAAAAAAAGAACCACCAGAGAACAAAGTATTTCAGCAGTGTCCTTGGAAACCATTGGTAACAAAAAGAAGTTTTGTTTTGTGTCTGTATGGCTGGAGGGAGCAGCTGGATGTGTGAACCAGCAAAAAGTGGGATCAATTGTGAAGGAACCCCTGAGAAGCTGATTTAGTGGATAGTTGTCTGGTGTTTATTATAGTTCTTTATTTTACAAAGTTAATGGGGTGTCTGGAGATGGGAAGAATAGACAAATACCTGCACTTGTCAAATTGATCCCAGATAGGGAAGTGCCAGGAGGAAGGAATCCATTATGTGATTAGTTACTTTTATTAGATTTCTATTTCTATTCTGATACTCACATTAACAAATTAGTTATTTCTCTTAGAGTGTTATACCCAGCAAGAGGGGGCTGGATTTGAGGCTCACTTAGTGCAGGTTGGAATTGCTTGCCAAGGCCTCTCCAGCTTATCAGCATTGTCTGTTGTGTGCAAATGGAAGAAAAGCACAGTGGCCTCCTTGTCTAAATGACTCTCCCATCATTTGGGTGTTCCAGGGGAAGTCCTGCCTGTCCTGCCCTGGCTGCTGCATAGAACCAGCTGCAGGGGGAAAAAAAATAAATTGTTTATTAACCTGTTCTCCCTGCCAGTCTGCTGAGGTTTTGTAGCTCCTTCATCTCCTCTCCTTAGCCTCCCACCGGTTTCAATAGCTGCTTTTCCCTTTTTTTCCCTTGCCTTTCACACAGCCTCTCCTTGCTCTTCAGTCTCTTTAATTCTCAACAAATCTCACTGCAGCACTTGAGCTCTGTGATATCCCCTCCAGCCATTGCGCCCAGTGAAGTACCTGCAGCAGCACAGAACAATGGGGGACTTGGCACCTTCAGAGCCTTATGCAAAGCTAATTTGATTTCCTCACACATTTTCCTATTGGGAGAGGAATTGCTGGCAGAGGTGTCAAGAAGTGTTGTGCTTGCAGGCACAGAGTGATTTGGCAAGAGAGCTGCAATTAGAGCCCTGGCTCCCAGCTCTGTTCTCTCACTTCTCCCCTCTCCCCTCGATGTGCTGTCCCCTTCCCCTTCAGAAATGTTGTTCTGGGACAAGGTCAGCTTGGAGTTGGTGCCCGGGGAGTGGAGCCAGCGGGGCCCAGATCCCTCCTGGCCGTTGGGATCCTGCAGCTGTTCCGCAGCCGCTGCTCCCGTCCCGCTCTGGCCCCGGCTCGAGGTCGTTCCTCATCTGCTCTGCCTTTGCCCTTCCCACAGGTCGATGCCAAGAACCAGGGCAGGACTGCCCTGCAAATTGCCTCCTACCAGGGGCACCTGGAGGTGGTGAAGGCTCTGCTGCAGGCACATGCCAGCGTCAACCTGCGGGACGACGAGGGGGACACGGCGCTGCACTACGCGGCTTTCGGGTAGGATGCCTGACTCCTTGCTGCCTCTGGTGCAGGATCTAAAGGGCTGCAGAGTTTATATTCTGGGTATAAATGGGCAGTCTGTGGGAAGGATGTGTGGCTGGTGGAGGCTTTTCTCTGATTTTACCCTGCGTTAGAAATTGGTGTTTGAGCTTAAGCCCCCCAGGAACGTTTCTTAGCACACTCCTTTATCCTCCACAGCGAGGTTTCCATGCTGGGAATTTTGGGGGGAATCAGAACAAGAGGTTTTGGTGAATCAGAAAGAGAGCTTTTGGTGATTAGATATTTTTCAAGGGGTTGGGGGGATGTGGTTTGGTCGGTTTGAGATCACTTTGGTTGGTTGGTTGGTTGGTTCCTGTAAGTGCGTGTGTTTTCCAGAGCAAGATGGAATTTTCAATTGTTTTGTCTGTCGCCAGAGAAGAATTCATCAATAAAAGTTGGAAATTCCTGTTGATTTAGAACAGAGGGAGCAGATTTTAGAGCACAAATTAGGAAGGTTTTGTTGTATGTGGTTTTTTTTTAATACTAATAAGAAGTGAGATGAAGCCGCGAGGATGCAAAACCCGAGAAGCCCTGTTGCCTTTCAAGGAGGAAGAATTTACTTCAGCTCTAACCTGTTTTTCTCCTTGCTTTTAAATCAGAAACCAGGCTGAGGTTGCCCGTGTGCTCATTGGCAAAGGAGCCAGCACAGACCTGTTGAACAATGCCAAGTGCACGGCGCTGTACGTGGCTGTGAGCCAGGGCTTCACCGACGTGGTGAGGGCCCTCTGTGAGCTCAACTGTGATGTCAACCTCCCGGTGAGTTTGGGGCTTTTGGGTTAGAGGAGTGTTTGAAGGGTTTTTTTTCCTGGTGGGGTTTTTTTTTTGAGGTGGGGAGGTGCTTCTTTATGTGTTGCTTTGTCGGGTTTGAAAGTCGTTCTCCTAAAATGCGCTGCTGTGCGTTGCACAGGAAATATTCCTTTAAATAGGATTATTTATACTGAAGTATTCCTTCAGTGCTCTGGAATTCCAGGTTTGGGCCTGCCCAGCTCAGTGCAGTGACAGTCTCTGTGCTGGACTCGGGCTCCCAGTGAGAGCTGACCTGCTGTTAGTGGGTGTTGTTGTTGCAACACTCCTGTTGCCAGCAATAAGGAGTGCTGAGATTTTTGAAGACAGGCAGTGATGGTGGCTTGGACCCAGCCCATTTTTAGGCTGTGCTTGTGTGGTTCTGGGGCTGGACTGTGCTGGGTCAGTGCCTCAAAGCCGGCTGGGAAGGTCAGCAGCTCTTAGGTGGTTTCCCTTGGCTTCCTGAGGTGGGTAACCTGTGTCCTGCTTGGGTGTCCTTGTGCAGGATTCCCAGGGAGACACCCCCCTGCACTATGCCATCACTCTGGATTACAAAGTGGTTATTGAGATTCTCACTGAAGTACCCAACATAGACTTCACTGTCCAGAATGGCCAAGGCTTCAACCTGCTCCACTATTCTGCTCTGAAAGGCAACAAGCTGTGAGTGACCTTTTTTTTCATTTTTATGGCTTTTGCAGATCTTAACTCATGCTTGTCTCAGCAGTAACAAGGTGGTAGATGTAGTTCTGGATAGATGGGAAGAAAATAGATATGACTGGGTGTAGCTGTTGCCCTCCTTCATGCCTTCACAGGAAACTCCTGCCTGCTTTCCCTGTCCCATGTCTCTCATACCTCCCTAGCTTGGCTTGAAAATATCTGCTTAGTTTCCTTAAGTGTTTGGGTTCACACTTGGAAGGACAGGAGAAGGTCTGTAGTAAAGACTGTGTCTAACTGAGAGCCTCTGGAACTCTTCCAAGGATAAATCTGCTCATTATTTCCAAAGCAGTGTGACTTTACCCTTTATTACTTTATTAAATGATAACTGAGGGCTTTTGTTATATTCCTGTAATTCAATCTGTGAGTTAGAGGGACTGCTCTGCATCACCAGTGTCAGCTCATGGTGCTGCCTATTAAAATATGAACATCCATAACCCCTTTTTTCCTGATAAAGTAACTCTTCCATCTCTGTTAACCTCCAACACTCCAGAGCCATAAAGAAGATTCTGGCGAGAGCTCGGCAGCTGGTTGACTCCAAGAAGGAAGATGGTTTCACTGCCCTGCACCTTGCTGCTCTCAACAATCACATGGAAGTGGCAGAAATTCTCATCAAAGAGGTAAGGAAAAAAAGCAAAACAAACCCACCACAAACAAAAGCTCCCATCTGCCCAACTCCCAACCCCCCAACTCCCAACCCCCCGCGTTTCTGCTGGGACTCACAGAAACGTCCCTTTGAAGAGCTGGCATCGTTTGCCAGACTGAAGAAGAAGGGTTGGCATTCCTGGGGGTGTTTTCCTTTGGCACTGGCAGAGAGGAGAAGGGTGTCTTGGCCAGAACAAAGCGGGTTGGAACTGGAGCCTGCTGGGAAACGTTCGGTGAAGACGGGCTCGAGGTTCAGGACCTCACCGGGCTGTTCTGCAGCCAAACCCAGCAGCACCAGCTCACTCCGGTGCAATCCCTTCCCTTCCAGGGCCGCTGCGACGTGAACCTCAAAAACAACCGTAACCAGACCCCCCTGCACCTGGCAGTGATCCAGGGCCACGTGGGGATGGTGCAGCTGCTGGTGGGCGAGGGCAGCGACGTGAACGCCGAGGACGAGGACGGGGACACGGCCATGCACATCGCCCTGGAGCGCCAGCAGCTCATGGCCCTGGCCATGGAGAAGCGCGAGGGGGACATGGGGCCCTCCCTCCTTTCCAAGGTGAGCTGGGAGCAGGAGGAATTCCAGCACCCAGGGCGGGAGAAACGCTCGCTGTGGGAATGTCAGCAGGATCCAAGGGGGCAAAGGAAGGCAGGGAAACTGTGGTGAACCAGTGCAGATGGGGAGCATAGAAACAAATAGGAACAAACCTTCCTGCTTGTGGGAAAGCAAATAGGTCCTCTGAGGGGGTGCTTGAATTTGTAGCATGAAGCTTGACATAGTCAGACAACAATTCATCCCGTCTCCCCCGATATTTTTATTAGCATTGTGCTTCTTTCCTGACGTGGGAAAGGTCACGAATCCACTTGCAGAGCCAAGAGTCCTGGGTTTAATTCATGCCCCAGGACCACAGCAATTCATTTCTGCCTGATGGCATGGAAAGTATGAGGACAGCAAACCACAGCCACCCCAGTTATCTGCGGGAGGACAGCAGAGGGTGAGAGGTGAGGTGGATCGGGCTGAAGGATGAAGACAAAGTTGTTACAAAGCCTGAACTGGATTTCCCTGTGCTGTTCTCTGTTCATGGATATAAAGACCTTGGTTCTAGAAATCAGTGCAGCACATGCCAAGGGTGTGGGGATAATTTAATGCACTGGAAAATCCAGCATGGATTTTTTTTTTCTTTATTTATTTTCAAATGATCAGAATAAGCAAAACCACCCATTCCTCCTTTCTGACTGTTGGTGCTTGGAAAAACCCAGTGCATTGGTCATCCATTCTGCTTGTTGCCAAACTGCCATTCTTGTGGTAGCAAGAGCTGATGGCTCAAAGGCAGCCAATAGCTGGTCCTGGATGCAGGAAATCTTAAAGAGGGATCTGTGTGTGTCATTCCCAATGTTATTTACAGTAACATCAAATCTAGATGCTGTAGGGTCCTTCATGTCCAATTTTATTTGCCCTGACCTACACACTCTGGTCTTTTAAGTCACTGGGAAACGTTTGTTGACTTTAATTTGGGTCATGTACATAAAAATTTTGCTTTTTAAATAGATGTCACTTAAGGCCCCATGGGCCAGCTGTTCATCAGCTGGTGTGTGCTGTGGTGTCTTCAGCTGCTTCCTTTTCACCACCTGAAGAAGTTGAATGCCCATTACTATGATTTGTATTGATTATCACCAGTTAGGACCAGCCTTGTGCACTCTTGTCCCTGGAATGTAAATTTGAATCTTGCTGAAGGATCTTTTTGTGTTTTCAAAAACTGATGCTAAGTTGCACTTTCAAATTGTAAGTACAGGGTGTAAGACTTGGTTTAGAATTTGATACAGGTCGTGTCCATGTAACAGAAACTTTTTGTGCTAACAGAGTGTGTTCCTCAACATCTTTTAGCTGCAGGCTTCTGGCTTTCTTGGAAATGTAGAGCTGAATGTGGGGACTGCAATTGCCTGCTACTTAGCACAAGAAGGAGCAGATATCAATTATGCAAACCACAGAGGAAAATCTCCTTTAGACCTCATTACAGATGGGAGGATTGTCCAGATTGTCAAAGACTTCTCACAGAAATTCAGGTAAACCCTGTGCTCAAGCCAGTGACAGTAAACTCCCCTGCAAACCACAGAGTGCTCCCTCCAGCTCTTCCAGGAGGGATGGAGCTTCTCTGGAACACTTGGGGTGTCAGTCTGAGCACCTCCTGTTCCTTCTGGAGCTGGTTGCTGGTTTCTGGAGGGGTTATGTGAGGCTGGATGCTGCCATTGGAAAGTGTTGGGAAAAGCAGATTAATGTTGCTCAGTGCAAACTCAGCCTCCTGGCTTAACAGAGAGCCCTGAGGCAACCTGAGGAGTCTGGCCACTGAAGCCAAGAGCAACTTTGCAGAGTCGTTCTGGGTTCTGTTTTACTTCCATTTGATTCTGCAGTTGCAGGTATTTAAGCAGAGAGGAAATGCAGCAAAAGAGTGGCCACCAGAACCCACAGAATTCATTCCAGGGCCGGATAAATGCTTATTTTTCAGCTGATAAGAGAAATAGCTGAGAAAAGGGAGAGTATATCCAGTCAAAGATGGCTTTATCTCGGGTTCTGAGAAAACATCTGTTTGCATTTTGACTTTGCAAACATGAGAGCAGAGTTTGATCTGAGGGCACAGACTCGGTCCTGTTACTGCTGGAGGAGGAACCACCCAGCAGTGCTGGAACTGGCCATACCTCTGGTCCACTGTGGAAAAAAAGGTGAAATGTGTCCCTTTAAACATCTTGCACAGCAATTTTGTCAGTGGAGCATATGTTGGATTGAGTTTTTTTTTTCTTAAAGAATGTCATTTCTTTCAGACTGATGTTTCTCAGAACAGCATGCTGGTTTCAGCAGGTGATTGTAGTGTCAGTACCTCATTGCTGCCCTCCAAAAGGGCATTTTCAACCTGTGTAAATATTAGCCGTCCTTGCTCTTTTCTTTTTAGGTAGAACTAGTCAGAATCCCAGCTGAGCCGGTCCCAAGTGAGGGATCACAAGATTATGCCACTGAGTGTTTGCCAGGGATCAGCACAGAGCTGCTGCAGGAGGATCTGGGGTGTGTGGCTCACATTTTGTGCTGTTCCTGCTTTCAGGGAACAGCAGGTTTCTTCGGAGAGCTCCACCATCACCTGCAGCCTTCGCCGTGTGCACACCACGCCCAACACCATGACCAACCTCAGCGTGTCCAGCGTGGCCGTGCCCACAGAGTGCCTGGTCTGCTCAGAGCTGGCCTTGCTCATCCACTTCTTCCCTTGCCAGCACAGTATTGTGTGTGAAGGTGAGTCCTTCCCCTCTTCCTTTCCCTCTTTCCATGTTTTTCTTTCCCGTTCCACCGCCCAACCTCCTTAGTTGGGCTCCCATAAATCAGGCTCTGTGCAGACACAGAGTGAGCCATTGTGCTGTTTGTGTCCTGAAACAACCCCAGCATGATTTCAGCAGCTTGGGCAAGACATCCAAAGTTATCTGTGAAAAGCACAGAATGTTCTGCCCACCTGCTGACTGGGACCCAAGGCAGCTTTACTTGTGCTTGTAGATGCCTGCACGATTCAGAAGGAAAAGCAGGTGCCTCAGTTCCAGCTGTCAGTGCTTTATCCAGCAAAAACCTCCTGAGAAGGAGGTTTATCCATCAAAAACCTCCTGAGAAGGATTTCCCTCTTCTCTGGCTTTCACTGCTGTTTGCATTGCAGTTGTTTTAGTGGCAGCCTGCTCAAAGATGTCAGCAAGTTTGTTATCTCACAAGGCACTCACAGTCTGACCACAGGGAATTTGGGATTTTCCTGTGCCAGAGCTGCTCCCTTTTCCCCCAGAGCTGTTTGGATCCACAGTGCAGCAGTGCCAGTGCCACAGAGCATCGAGGACTTAAAGGTGTTGTGCTTGCTACTGACCTAGGAAAGATTAAACCAGGAGACTTAAGGCACAAAAAGCAGGTTGTGACCTCGTTCTGTGCAGAAACAATCTCTTAATCACCCAGGGAGGCCTCAGGTTGTTCAAAGCTGATGGTCTTGAGTCTGTTGCTTTCCTCTCTGTTCTGACATCAGGGGGCTTAACTGTGGTCTGTCCTTGTGTCATTTGTGCCAGAATGCTCCAGGAGAATGAAGAAGTGCATCAAATGTCAAGTGACAATAACCAAAAAGCTGAAACAAGGTATGTTTGCTGTTCCTGCTGGGAGTGCTGTGGGAGGGGTCCTGTGCAGGGGGAGTTTGAGGAGCATTGATGATTTTCAGTGGAATAGCCAAGAGGGTTAATTTGTTTTGGCTTGTGTGTGTGTGCCCCTGTTGCTTTGCCCACCTTTAGAGGGGAAAAAAAGAACATCTCAGGTGTCACAGGCCAAGCTCAACCTGCATAGACAGGACACTTAAGGAAGCTTTAATGCCTGGGTCTGGCTTATTCTGTGTATTGAAAGCAAATATCAGGCTCTCCAGTCTGTTTTCACATGTGGTGGCTTAACAGTGGAAAATTTATGAGAGAGGAAAAATTGCATTTTGTGCAAGCCTTGCCTGTGCCTTGGCTGAAATCACAGTGCCTGTGCAGGGCTGGCATTGCCCAGCTCTCCAGGAATCCCTGAGCTGGATTGTTTCAATAAGGCTCTTCAGCTCAGTTCCAGATGAGACATTTGCATGGAAATTTTTGCTGGAGGAGGAACATCAGGGTCTCCAAAAATACCAGCTGGATTTCCCTGTCAGTGATGTCTTCAGTGCCTTGTCCCCAAACCCTCTTCACCTTCATGGATTTGAAACCACTCCTTGCACCACTGATGTGCAAGTGGTCCCAGAATGCTGAGGAAAGGGGCATCTATATTGAATTGCAGAGCTCCCTAATCAAGGATTAGAGGAGCAGAATATGAGCAGTGGGGCTGAATTAAGCTGAAACCAGCAGGAGTCTGTTTACCTAAGCTGGTATTTGGGGTTCTTTCATTTCAAAGAGTTGACAAAGTGACCCTATTTGTGTAAAAGTCAAGATAGGTGATGTCAAGTGGTTTCTTCTTGTTTGACCATGTGTGCCCTGAAGGGCTTAACCAGAAATTGGAGTGCCAGATGTGAACAGGGAGAACACTGGAAGGATTCCTGGGCTGGCGTGGCAGAACATCTCACCCAGCTCTGAGTGTCCTCATATTCCAGAGCACCAAGGCAGGACATCTCAGCCAACACTTTGTTTCCTTTAAAAAAAATAAAAAAACAACCCACCAAACCACCTCAAACCCACACACACACACACACAAACCAGAAGTGAGGAAAGCAGCACTTTCTGGCCAAGTCTGGAAAGCATCCCCCGGGCTTTTATTTGAGGAATCCTTGGATAAGGCTCAGTGAGGAGAGTTTAGGGGCAGAGTGTGCCCTGACTAACCCTGACTAACCCTCCCTGGTGCCCCACAGACAGCACGGAGGTGGAGTGCAGCCCCAGCTCGGAATCCACGGACCAGAGGAAGCTCATGGAGGAGCTGCAGAGCCGCTACAGGCAGATGGAGGAGAGGATCACCTGCCCCATCTGCATCGACGACCAGATCAAGCTGGTGTTCCAGTGCGGGCACGGCTCCTGCCCCGACTGCAGCACGGCCCTCACCGTGTGCCCCATCTGCCGCCAGGCCATCCGGGAGAGGATCCCCATCTTCGTCTAGGGCTGCCCCCGGCCCTGCCTGCCCCCTCTGCCTCCTCCCTGTCTGCGTTTTGGGGGTTTGGCTCCCTGCAAAGCCCTCCTGGAGGAGAGGGAGGTGTCACACACGCAGCCGGTGTCCGGAGGTGGCCCCTCGGCACCCCCTCCCCTGTGCTGCTCCTCCATCCCATAAACAGCTCTGACCCATCTGCCCGAGGCAAAAAGAGCCCTTTTTGGAGCAGAGATGGACAGAATTCCACGTGGAGATGTTCCCCACTGGCATCCAGCTCCAGGAGTGCACCAAGGCCGGTGCCCTGCGGGGTGGGTTCCCCCGGACTGCCCTGGAAGGAGAGGCTGGAGCAGGATGTTCCTCACCAGTTATCCCGTGGCAGGGGGAGCAGGATGTTCCTCACCCCTCATCCCGTGGCAGGAGGTGGCAGAGCACACACTGCACTTCCCCTGAGGAGATCCCAGCTCTCCCAGCTGCCTGCCAGGGGCAGGGAGGGATGTCCTGGGCGTGCCCTCTCCCAACCAGAACCTGTGGACTCCACCAGAACAGAGGCAAACTGGATGTAATAAGGTCCTAAAGACAGAGCATGTGCCTTAGAGATAAAGTAGTGAACACTGATTGAAGAAAATATGTTGTTACAACAAATATTTCTAACCTCTAAGTGACACTCTTCTTCCATATTTTATTTTTTTTTTTTTTTTGGCACAACTGTGTGTTCAGAGACTCCTGAGCTTTCTATCCATAATGCCAAAGGCAGGTGTTAAATACTCCAATCAAAGTGTAAAGAAAATAAATAGTTAATAATTACGAGACGAGAGAGGAGAAGAGGAAAAAAAAAAGGGGGGGGTTCATTTTTGTTTCTTTGTTTTGCAGCAAAACTTAATAAAATAAAGTATATATTTTCCTGAGCATTAAAATGAATGTACAAACAGTAGCTGAAATGTGGATCCAGCTGTATTGTGTTTTCCAACTGAGTGAAGAAATATTATGCACTGAGTCATCCTGTTAAGTAGCTGTTGGTGGAAGTGTGGCTCGTGTGCCACACGTGTGTCTGTGCACATACGTGTTTGTGTGGGGTGTTTTTTCTCTCTGATGACACAATTATGCCCAAACACACTTGTTTGTTACGTATTTGGAGCAATATTTAAACCAAGCAAAAACCTCCTGTGTTCCTCTGCTCTCTTTGTTCCTTTTGCAAAGAGGTGGCAAAGCTTTTAAAGGAATTTTTTTAGCTCCGTGGGATGGGTGGCAGTTACAGGAATATTTATTGGCTTTACAACCCAGTGGTGTGTTGAGAGAGTTGTTTCACAAATTCTGGACTCCTGTAGATTGTATTCATCAGGATGGTTCTCTTGGGGTTGTTACAGTTTCAGCAGGTTTTTTTGGGGGGGGGCTGTGAAAATGGATCAGATTTAACCCCTAAATTCTCTGCTTGGCTCGGATTTAACACCCAAATAACCTGAAACTGAGTTGCAGAATCAGCTTTGGTGTAAAATCAGGGGTGGAATTCTCATTTCCTTGTATCCTAGAAGTTTGTGTTCATGGAAATTCCTTTGGAGCAATTCAGAAACTTCCCCAGAACTTTTGCTGTGTTTGGGAGGGGGCAGCAATACCAAAGTCCACAAGTATAAAAGCACAAATCTGAGCCATTTTTATCATTCAGGAGCTGCTTCAACCACTATTTGATGCAAGTGAATAATTTCCCAGACTATACATTACCCCAGCCCCATGCTAAGTGTTTCTTTTTTAAACACATTTCTTTTATAAGCCTCTGCATAAATCCAAAAGCACTTTGCTAAAGGTAAAAACTGCTGCTGTTTCATCCTGTGTGTTGAATGTGGGGAGAGGGGACAGAGGTGGCAAAGTGTTCAGTATCAGCCCAAAGGTGTCATTTTATTCAGGAAAAACAACATGGAGCATCTGCTTCTTTTTTTTCTTTTTTTTTTTTTAATAGCTTCTTTGGGTGCTGAATGAAGAGAGGCTTCCAAGTGATTATTTTCCCTAAAGGGAAAAAAAAAATCCTAGGACAACTGGAGCCTTTGACTTGGGAGCTGTGCAGCTGTTGCAGAAAATTGAGGTGGTTTAAAAATTATTTTTGTTTTTTTTTCTCATCCTGTCTAATGAAAAGAGATTTTTGTAGGGAAAGAAGAGCTTCCCTCAGTTTTGTGATGTACCTTTTGGAAAACTCAAGCTCCATTTTAAGATCTCCTGAGCTTGTTTTCGTGTCTGAAATTCGTTGTGTGGCCAAGTTGGGAGTTTTGCACAGCAAAGAAAACCTGCTTAAGAGCTGCAGAAATTGTTTGTAAAAACGTAATGTGTTTGTTTTGGGAGTATATTCTTTTATTTTCTGTTATTTTTGTGTGTTCTCTCTTATTTTCCTGAATTTTCCTGCTGTGGTTGCTTCGGAGGAAGCACCATTTTAACCCTTCCATTTTCCCAGTAAGAAGAAGGGGAATTTCTGCACCCACCAGAGAAGAACCAGGATGGTCAGTGGAGCCCCAGGAACAGGAGATCACAGGAGGAGCCCCTTTGTACCAAGTATGTTTTTGGCAAACTTTGCCCCCCTACACCAGGCTCAGCTCCATGGGAGGGGGAGGGAAGGAAGTCCTGCTCTTTTATCTTCCTTGATGAGCCTGAATCCAGTTTAGCTGGAGAATATAAGACAGGAAAGGTGGGGGAAGATGCTCTTCCTCTCTCTCCTTTTGCTCCTGGTTGGTTTTCTTGCTGGTTGGAGGAGCAGGGAGGCTGTTCCTGCTGCTGAAGGGAGGCAAGGAGGTGCCAGAGCAGGAGCAAATGCTCCTTTAAAGGCAAATATTGTCATTATTTAACTGGTGTGGATAGTGAGCAGCTTTTCTGCTGGATGTTTATCACCAGTTGCTCTCCCACAAACGAACTGGGGAGCTCCTGGTTTTCACTGGAGCTTCTGTTATCTCCTGAGTGCAGCTCTGTGCCTTAGATATTCCCAAGTTTTTCAGGTGTACAGCTTTAGTTACGAGGTGTCAGCTGGTCTCGTGCTTGGCACGGGGGTTTCTAAAGCTCTTCCTTTTGAAGCGTGGCCAAAAATCCATGTTTTACAGGCAATGTGAGGCTGAGGGAGTAGAGAGGGAGATTGTTGAAAGGCAGAGTCAGGTAAAGAGCCCATCTCTCCTTCCATTCTGTTCCCACTGGTCCGTGCTGCTCTCAGGATTCCGGGAGAATTGATCCATCCACGAGTGGATTACAGGTTATTAATAACAACCCCAACCACAGTAACATCCCACACAGGGAAGCAATTCTTCCTCCGTTGTGGATGCACTTTGTTATCTGTGATTTGAGGAAAAATTTCCCCCTCATTTCTGAATTTCTCCCTCTTTTTCATCCCTGGAATCCTGCGTGGCCGTGGCTGCCCCGCCGAGCTCCCGCCTGGGGTCAGGGCTCTCTGGTCACACGAGGTCAGGCCAGTGCAGGCACCTCTGTGAGCTGCAGCTCCAACTGACAGTTAAGCAAAATATTCCATTTTCTTTGCCAGCTGGAGCCAGCCCTTGTTTTCAGCTCATTTGTTATTCATCAGAGCGTGGACTTTTCTAGGAACATCAGCAGATGCCGATCACGAGGGGCTGCACGACAGAAAGCGGGAGAATGTTTGGGGACTGAAGAGCATCATTATTGTTCTCCCCCTCCCTGGGGAACGTTGCTCCCTGTTGCAGCACATAACAATCCTTTTTTTAGTGCGTGACCCACTGAAAAAGCACAGATTTGAACTGCCATTCCCACAGGAACCCGGGCAGGAATGTTGGGTTGTTGGGTTGTTTTCCCCCCCCTCCCCAGGTTGTGAGCTGCAGGGCTAAATCTGTAAGTGCTTTTAAAAGTTTAAGAGCTATAGGAGGGTTTCCTAATTCTTTTCACATGGGCCACCAAGGAGCTGATCTGTGGTAAATCATGTTCACCCCTGTGCTTTCCCCCTTCCTGGCCTGGGGCTGGGTTTGGACCAGTGCCCTGGAGATGAGATGTTGATCCTCGTGCCTTGAGCCATCAGACATGGGCAGAGATCAGGTTCTTCTTCTTTCCCACCTCCGTGTAGAACTCCCAGTCCACAACAGGGGAAGCTGACGGGGGTGGTTTGTTTTAATCCTGAATCCTGAATAATGGGCTCTTATCCATGAATAAACAAGAGGTTCTGTGAGAGGTGAGGTTCCCTTGGGACAGTCAGGCAGCTGCAGTTGTAGCTCTGATGGTTGTTGTCTCTGTGGCATCTCTAAGCACAAGTTTGTTGCTGTGGATTGTTGTAATATTTGTTGTAATGGATTGTTCCTGTGCTGTTCTGGGGACTTGAGTGAAGCAGTGCCAGCGTCCTCCCTGGCCTGGGCACCAGGGCTGGCTTTGCTCTGGGATGGGGCAGGGATGCTGGAAATAGTGCTGAAAATAACATTTGATGTTAACAGTGCTGAATAAAGGAAAGGAGAGAAATACTAAGAATAATCCACAGAAGTGAAAAAGCATTTCTGTTTGAGCTGAAGCTTGCCCTGGGGAATGGAGCCATATGTTGTGCATTACACAGCAGCCCCCCTTCAAACTAAACATTTCAGCAATTAAGTGAAAAGAGCAAAGCCAGGCTGAGGTGATTGAACAAGGAAAGCGTGTTGTGCTGTGCAAATGATCCAGGGCTTTATGTTTTGCATAGTCTCTAGTTGGCCATTGTGGGTTTTATGCAACATTCCACATAAACATTCCTTCCCTCCTGACAGCTGGTCAGAGCCTGCTGCTCCAGGGACATTTAGTCCATGCAGGGATCTTGGGATATGCATCCCTGACTGTTTGCTTGGACAGTCCCAGCTCCCTCCAAAAGATATCCAGGTCCTGGGCACTGCCAAGAGCATGAAGACAAAGCAAAGTCAGTTCTGTGCCTGCCTTCCTTCCCTTTTTCCCCATCCCACCATATGAGTTCCCTCAGTGTAATGTGTTCCACTGCTTTCAGACACTGTGCAGAAACCAAAGCCAGGAATGTTTTTCTGTCCAAATATAGTCAGGATGACAGTCCTTGCCTGGAGTCCAAACCAAATATCCTCCCTCCAGAACCTGAGACCTCTCGAGCTCAGCAGAACTCTGAGGCTGCAGCAGCACTTGGGTAAGAGCAGCTCCCTCAGAGCTGAGTGTGGGGAATATTTTCATCAGTGACAATGGGAATTCTGGCCAGAGCTGGTGCTCTGGTGGATCCAGGTGCACAGAGGCTTTCTCAGGAGCGTTGTTTGTGCACAGCAGTGGGTTCATGTGTCTCCCTTGGCTCCACGAGCTCCTGTGAGCCCTGAATGCCTCAGCACAGGAGCACAAGAGCTCTCCCCACCTCTCACTGCCCTGAAAACTGGGCTTTGTCCTTTCCTTACTGCTGAGGTGCTTTCTCAGCAAATATTTGGCTTGAACTTGGAAGAGTTTTTAGAGCATCCTGCAGTCAGTGGCTTGGTGGGGTTGGATGCACAGGCACTGGATTTCTCGGCACAGAGGATTCCCAGCATAGGGGGGGAAGTGAACTAAGGGGTTTCCAGGAGACCCTGCTCTCATTCCTGATCCATCCAGGTGTAACCTGCTTGCTACCCTGACAGGGAAGCAGGATCCTAAATGTCACAGAGGTTGTGAGTTGTCTCTACAGGTAAAGATTCCCATTCAACCACTGCATGTGGCACAAGATAAATGGCTCATGTGCAGTATGGTCCCTTCCCATCCAGAATATTCCAGTAACTCCTGGGAAAAGGGCTGTCTTGGCTGTGCTAACCTTTAGTAACTGCATGAATAAGTATTCAGAAACAATGAGGTCCTAAGAATGCACTGTTACTAAAGCTCTGTACAGTAACTTTGCAAGGCTCTGTGCTGGGAAGTATTTTTCAAAAACTTTCTTTCCAATAGGACAAAGGAAATTCTTGGTTCCCTCGGGCTGTGGTTGTGTGAGTTCCCAATCTGTGCTTTAGAGCTCAGGTTCCTGTGCTCCTCTTCACAGAAACAAGGCCTTGACTGTGTGCTTAGAAGATTTCAGGTTGCTGTTCTTCAAGATTCCACCCTTTACTTCAGGCAAGTCTTTTACCTGCCCGGTGCCATGGGTCTCACCCTGCAAGGAGCAGGTTAAGTGCAGCCAGGACTGGTGTGAGATCCCCTGCTCTGAGGTGCTCAGGTCCTGTGGCAGGAGGTGGATGTGCAGTGCATAAGTTGATTTTCAAGCACTACTGACTCTTCCTGGCTGGGTGAAAGGCAGAGGCACTTGAAGCTCTTGCGCAGTTCTGCGGCCGAAACTCAGTGTTCTTCCAGCACTCTCTGATAGCAATATTTTTCTTTTCAGGCCAGTGCTGTTTTACTGGAGAGGAGCTCTTGGCTGCAGGTTTTGAGCCCCATTCCAAGGCAGTTTTTCCTTCAAGACTCCCTTCTCAATCAGTCTCTGTAGGTGTGTTCTCACCTACAGAAAGCAGCTTGTTCGGGGGGACTCGAGGCATTGATCCTTCAGGAGTTTGTTGTTCCCACTTTCTCACTTGGTGCTTTGATCTGCAGCTCAAACCACAAACGGAGCTGCATTTGCATCTCTCTTTGGAGCTCCAAACAAAGGGCTTTTTCAGAGGGTTCATGCACAGGCACGTTCCTTCTGCCAACTGTGCTACTGGGGAAGGAGGAACCATCCCTAGAAAGCTGCAGCAGCAGCTGAGGTGAGCCAATTCCACGGGAGGTGCAGCCCTGTACCCTGGCTTTCTGCTTTTCATCACAGTCCCAGCTTCCCTTTGTAATTCTATCCACAGCTTCCTTCCATGTTACTCCTTATTCTGTCCTGGTATCTGAACAACTGCTGCATGTTGTCCTCTCTGCAGGAAACATGGGTTTTCTCCAGGGGAGACCTTGGTGGGAATGGAAAGGGAAAATTTTCGTGGAATTGTACACACAGACTCATTGGTCTTATTTATTCTGAGTTGTTTGAAAAGCTCCAGGCCAGCTTTAGTCTGAAAATACATGAAATGTTGCAAGCTCATGAACTAGGGGGAAAAAAAATGCAAATGAAACAATTTTTCTTTATTACAATTACAAGAATTTTCTGAAACCTTTCAAATGCCTCGGATACCCCCAAGGAATGTTTTATATGGGCTGGCAACAGACCTACCCCCCCCTTCCTCCTCCCTGGCATTTACTTGTGAAACTGGGAGCTTGCAGAGTTCCTTTTCCTCTGGCTGGGCAGAACTGGAGCTGAGGTCACCACCCCCCCTCAGGACCACGGGGTGACCCCACAGGAAAGTGCAGCTGTCTCTGAAAACCTGAGAATTTCTGAGTAAGCTTTTTAAAAAAAAGTCCTGAACTGATTCAAGTCTGGAGCCTGGAGATGCCTCCAAGAACCTCCCAGCTCAAGACAAAGTGGCCACTTCCCCAAGTCAGTCTGTGTGACCCCAAAATCAGTGTGGTTCTGAAAATACTCATCTTCCTCAGCGTGATAACCCAAGTGCACCAGAAACTTGCAGATCCCTTGCCAAATTGGATGGGAGAGGGAGCTGATGTTTACTTTTCTGTGAGTTTGTAAACTCCCCGAGCAGTTTCCCAAGCAGAGAAAGCCCTGCCTGCTCTCGCTGCATCTCGTTTTTTCCCTCTCCTCCTGAAGACAAGCCCTTGACAAATGACAGCTCTCCAGCGTTCAGCATCCCTAATGAAACATTCCAAGGGCATGATGCTGGCTGCTGGATTCCCTGTGCTGCCCCCTCCCCCAATTCTTTCATTACATAAAGCTGACAACTGCAGATTTGTCCCCTGTTGATTACACAGTTAAAGAAAGGAGTTCATGTCCACCCCAGCTTGTTTCACTTTGCTGCTGTTCCTCCGCCAGCCCAACTTTCAGCTGCAGTAACATGATCCCACTTGGCAGAGCCTGAGAGAATCTCTGGCACATTGGGAAGAGGCTTAATGTAAAGTCTACTTCTCTTTTTTTTTCTTTTTAATTTTTTGAGAGCTTTTTTGAAGCTCTGGTGGTTCTGCACAGCTTTGGCAGGAGCTGCAACGGGCTCCTCACAGATGCTCCAAATGTGAGCGCGAGGATTAACGGATGAGCTCAGTGCAGGGGATGTCTTAGTGCCTGTCCCATCTCCCTCCAAAAACTATTAAAGAGAGACATGGATCAAGCAGAAGAACTTTGTGCAGACAGGAGGAAAGGCTTCCCCTCACTGGACAAAAAAAAGAGCGGTGGCTGGAGAACCGTGGTGGGATTTTTGTGCCTGTTCCCTGTGGTGGCTCTGCTGGCGGTTGTGGAATATCCAGCTGGAGCTGCAGTTCAGGAAAGCCAGGTAGGAGAAGGGATCTAATTCTCAAATGCCTGGAAGGGGTGTGGGGTGTCAAATACCTGTATATTCTGTTTAGAAGGTGGATGCATTCAGGAAGAAATCTGAATAGAGAGATATCCGATCTAAAGAGAGAAATATCTTTCAAGGCAACAAGTTGTGTTTAGGGCTGGTTGAGTCCCTTTTGGCAAAGGATCCCTAAAGCTGAGGGTGCTTCCCAGTGGAGTCAGATTATCAGAGGTGTGTGTGCAGTCTGGGGCAACCAAACAGTGGAGGCACAAAGGATTTGGGTTCTTTTCCCCCCGAGCTTTGGCTGTTCCTGTGAATCCTCTGCTCTCCCAGCCTGGGATGATGTGGCATTGCACGTCCTGGGATTTCTGGAGCAGCTGAGCTTTCCTAGGAACTCAGGGCTTGTGTAGGACCTAAACTGGGTCCTACAGAACTCTTGGCTGGTATTGACTCCCTTTCAAGATCCATCCATTATCAAGACGAGCTGGGACAGTCTGAATCCAGGGGGAACTCTGGCAAGGCTCTGGGACTTTCAGGAGCTGATCTTTATTTTTGCTTTTAGCTTAAATTTAGCTTTTAAATTTATATTTTTAAAAAAAAATCTTTTAGTGCATCTTCTCCTGGTTTTTTTTTTGTGTTTATGAAGCTCTTGGCACTGGCCCCCCTTGTTTGCATCACATGCTCAAGGCTGTTATTAATTGGTCCTGATTCAGAGTTATGTTATTGTGTGGTTTGAGAGGGGAACTGCGTGGCCAGGAGGGAGAAGGGAATTAATTACAGTTGTTACAGCTCAGTGAAGTAACTTACTGGAGGTCTGACTGCAGGGGGGAATAATGCAGAGCAGGGATGTTGGCCAGTGTCTGCCTTTATATTTATATATATATCATACATATATTTGAGATTATATATATATAATTTCAACAACTATGTATGTTGTTGAGAGGGAGAACCGAACACCTGCCCTTCTAGTACCTCCCAGGCATTTGGGAGTTTTTGAGACCTTAACCCACAGCTGAATGAGTTTCTTCCTGGGAGTGTCTGACCTCTTCAGTTCTTTGTATTCCCAAAGTCTTGGATCTCTGGCATCTGGACAGATCCTTTGGTGGAAGTTATATTGTGAATTTTTAACGAGGCCACTCCATTTCTGTCAGAGCCCCACATCTGAGCTGCACTTTGGGTGGTTCCCCACCCTTCCCCAATTTGTTCTGCAAGGCTTTTCTTTATTAAAAGCATCTTGTTGCACCAGTGGTGAATAGAACTGAACCTAAAGGAGAACAGAGACTGGGCAGAAGGTTTGAGCAAGAGAACTCAGCCTCTGCACCTCTCTTGGTCCAGTGGGTCACATTCATGTCTCAGGGGTTGATGCTGGGCCAGGGTCACCCTCAGTTTGGTCTGGATTTTGAGGAGAAGTTCACTAGTGACACATTATTTTAATTGTTTCCCTTTGCCTGTTCAGCACTAATGAATGGCCTGAGGGTTTTGAGCGCAATGGCTGTAGAAAAGACAATCATTTTTCTCCCTTGGGGCTGCAGGAGGGATCAAGTTCAGTGTTCTGGCTTTGCTCAGGAGCAGGAGCATCAAGCACAGGGACAGAGAGCTGCTCACCCCAGTGTGAGTTAACAAATCTCCTGAGCTGGAGTCCAGAGACTGACAGGATTCCCAGTAATCCTGGGCTCTTCCTGACTGATGCCAGATTACATTAATAATGTAATCAACCCCAATACTGGCACGGGATTGCAGGGAAAACAACAAAGACAGAAAGGATTTGCATAATTCTCCACTACTTGAAAGAACTGCAAAAAAATAAAAGGGGAAGATAACTTATTATCCTGTAATTATAAGCTAATCTTCTCCAGGCTTCTCTTGCAGCTCCAACAGATCCTCCACCTTGTCTGTGTTGCTCAAAAGGATGCAAGATTTTCCTTCCATATGGAGGGAAAATGGAATTCTCAGAGTAGAATCAGAGGTAAAAGCCACTGGAGGTGAAGGGAGAGGGACAACAGCCACTGCACCCACATCACCTGTGCCTGGGGAGGAAGGGGCAGGGCCTTGAGCTGAGTGACCCCAAACCTGTGATCCAACCCCCTGCCAAAGGCTTTCAGCTCAGAGGGCAGTGCTGGCTCCCACCTCTGTCTCACAGGGGTGTCCCTCGAGTTCCTTGTGGGCAAAGATCGTGCTGGGCTCCGATGGTGATTCAGAGCCAGGGCTGAGCTGGAGAAAAGGCTGAAAACTGTCCTTCTGGGAAAGAAAGAGGCTGAGATTAAATCAGGGTGGAGGGAAGAGTGGCAGTGAGATGTGAGAAAAGAGGCTGGTTTGCTGTTAGGATGGAATCCCTCGGGTGGTGAGTGCTGGTGCTCCAGGCACATCTGGCAGCCGTCGCTTCAGGGCTCTTGTCCTCCCCTGCCACTGCCTCGCTGTGACACCAGGGACGTGCTGCTTTGGCTCTCAGAGCCTCGGTTCTTCCATCAGGAAAATGAGGACAGCTCTTGTTTCCTGTGGAATGTGCTGTGAGGCTGAACAGACTCGAGCTGGTGCAGCTTTTGTACCACAGCCGCCGTACCTGTCACTTGGGAAGTGTCCTGGTGCCTCTGGAGCAGAGATGGCTCACAGATATTCAGTGTCTTAGTCCTGGAAAGGGGAGACAGAGCAGGAAGCCATCCAGAAAACCGTGTTGGGTCCCATTCTTTTACCTCCACTGCTCAGGATGAAAAGGCTTTTCTAATTGGAGTCAGACGTGTCACTAAATTTGATGTCTTTTACTGTTCGATGGTTTAAATCCTCTCCAGGGTTTCCAGGGCTGCTGTTTACTTTGAAGGCATTTCAGATCCACAGCACAGCTCTTATAAAGAGCTCTCTGCACAAAGAGCTGCCTGTTTTAGTCATTTTTCCAGCTTTACATTTCTTCTGTGGCGAGGCTGGAGAGCAACAGGAAAGCGAAAAGGAAATGAAAACTTTCCAGGCAGAGCTGCAGCACTTGCCATGGCCAGAAGCCTCCTGAAGGCTCCATCTGTGCCACACTCCAAGAGGAGAGTGGCTGCAGTGCCCTGGGGTGGGATGGGGCAGCCAGACAGGACCATCTTGTCTCCTGGACACCCCCCAGGCAGCTCCAGTTGTGCTCCCCAGCCTGCAGACGTCCTGTACTGGTCGTTTTTATTGCTCACTGTTCAGCCCTGGGGTGTCTCCCATCCCTTCCAACCTGCTGCTTTGTCTTTAAGGAAGATGCCACATCCCCTGGCCTGTGTGGAGAGGGTTCCTCAGCTTTGCAAAGCCCGGCTTTCCCTCCTCGTCCTCCAGTGCGGAGAAAACGCTACACGATCACCCCGGGGCACTTGAGATGGGACCACTTCAACCTGACCTACAAGTAAGAGGGATCCTGGGGCCTGAGTTCTTCCTGCCACGGGTTTGGATGTTGCCCATGTGGTTATTGCTCAGCCCTGTGCAGGGAGAGCTGCTAAAGCCACTCTGAAATAGGAGTAATCCTACAAATGCTGCACCTCTCACTTCAGTGAAACCCTTCAGGACAGATTCAGGCTTCCTGAGCAGGGACCTCCCTCAGAAGGTGGTGACTGGAGGACTAACTCTGTCATGCTGATGTTTTTAACAGTTCTGTTTGAACCTAAACCATCCCTGAGGGAAATCCCTGTTGGGAGTTTCTGTAATTTCTAGAGATCTCTGATTTCAGGAGGACAGAGCTCTTGGTGCTTTCAGGAATCTCTCTCCCTGTTGTCTTTGGGAAAGGATTTCAGCTCTTGGATTATTAATAAACAACAAAAAGCCCTTGACAATCCTGGGGTGAGGGAATGCTCTGCTCTTTCACAGGAGCATCCCAAACAGGCTCAGCCTCACCAGAGCCTTAATTGTCCAGGTTTCCCCTCGTTAACAGCCTGGCTTGATACAAAACCTTCTGCTCCCTTTAGGATGTGCTGGGACGAAGGGAGAACATAATCAGCATAGCTAAAAAACAACCAGAGGGGATAGAGAATTTACCCAGCTTTTCCCCATTGAGGCAATTCCCTGAATGCAGATCTTCCATAGGCCAAGGTAAGTTTCCAGGAGCCATCTGTGCATTCCCATGGTACAAACAGGGCCTGCACCAGGAGTTTTCCCCCAGCTCACCCCGTAGCCTGACCAAAAACTTCCCTTGAATCTCTCTCCCATGTGATTTAGAGCTTTTTTCCAAAGGAAAGAACTTGTTTTCCTATCAAGTCTTTGATATTCTTTGGTACTCTCTTTCAGAAGTTCTGCCTGGGAGTATTTTACACCCTTGTTCACATCCATTGTAGCCCAAGTGTCAGGAGCAGGAGTTCCCTGCTGCTGGAACGCAGTCATTTCCTCTTCCAGCAACCCTGGCACGGCAGACTGGGAGACACCAGGATAAAAATAGTTATCTGAGGGAACCTTGTCTTAAGTGCTGTGCTTGAGAGGAGGAGCAAAAGCTGTAGTGATTGTAGAGAACACCAGCTCTTTATTCATCCCCGTGGGGGTTCATTAAACGTCGGTAACATCCAGTTCAGGCGACTCCCGATTTGAACCTGTTGGAGTGAACAGAAATCCTTGTCTGTCTGACAGCAGCCTCCAGCTGGTGTTTGAGGAGGGGGAGGGCATTTTCCTGACGCTGTCATGTGTCCCTGCAGGATCCTGTCCTTCCCAAGGAACCTGCTGAGCGCCAGGGACACGCGCCGGGGGCTGGCGGCCGCGTTCCGCATGTGGAGTGAGGTGTCCCCGTTCAGCTTCAGGGAGGTTCCCCGGCACCTCCCCAGCGACCTCAAGATCGGTGAGTCCCCTCAAAACCCCTGGAGGGATCCAGGGATTAACTCCACGACTTCCAGGGTGTAAAGCAGGGCGTGGGAGGCAGGAGATGTTCCTCCTGTGCCGTGCGGGCTCGGCCTCTTGGAAGAGGGTTGGAGCGTCCTTTAATCAGGCAGAGAAACTGCTTTTAGCTTTTATTACTTATTATCTTCAGAGAAGCTACTTTTAGCTTGTATTACTTATTATTTTAACTTTTATTGCTTATTAATTTTGATTGATTTTTTATTAAAATTCCTTGTTAATATTTAGGAAATATTAATATAATGATTAATGTTTTCTGTGAATCTTGCGGTCAGGAAGCTTCAGGGATTTGCCAAGAATTAACAGATTCTGCCACTGGGACAGATGGGGAAATCCATAGATTCCTGTCCCAGAAATGCAGAAATCCCCAGATTCGTATTCCAGAAATGGGGACATCCAGAGATTCCTATTCCACAAATGGGGAATTTTACAGATGAATAAGAATCTGTAGATTCTTATCCTGCAGATTGGGAATCTGAATGTTGGAAGGTGAAGTCAGGGTCACACAGAGCCAGAGCAGGAGACGGATTCCAGTTGTTCCTGGGTTTAGTCTCCCTTTTGTTGATCCCACTGTCTTGGCTCCCTCCCCTCCCTCCTGCCCCTCTCTTGCTCTGCAGTTGCTCTGGAGTTCCTGGGGCCTGGAAAAACGTCAGTGCTGAAGCTTTTTCTGCTCAGCCTCAACCCCAGATGTAAATCCTTCCTGGGATTTATGGTCTGTGTGAAATCCTGATTTCCTGTGCCTGTGGCAGCAGGACTGAGACAACCAGCAGACTCCCCATTGTTTCGCAACTCGCTCTGGTGCTGCAGGACCCTGCTCAGAGCACAGGATGTGCTTCCAGGGGTCTGTCCTGCTCCCTGTGAGCTCCAGGTCCCCAGTTCCAGGATGCAGGATGCACTGTGATCCTGCTGTGGTGCTGACAAGGAGATGGGGAGCAGCTCTCACTGTAACTCTGTCCCTGCTTATTGACATTTCAAATAGAACAGTTCCATCCCGGGGTTATCAGTTCAGCTTCTCTCTTAAAAGAATAATTTCCACGTGATGTTGCAAGACAAGCTCAGCATTCCCTGCTGGGAAGTAAACTTATTTGTGTCCATTGGGAACAGCTCTAAATCCAGGGGCAGCACGTGGCCATCAGTTGCTTTTCATTTGTCTTTGCTTTCGTGGCTCCGGAGGTGGGAAAACACGTGGGATCCCATCAGAGACCTTTTTAGTGACTCAGGAGTTCACTGACCCTGCCAGATCCACTCAATCTGCTGCTTTTTTTCCCCCAGGCTTCTACTCCATCAACCACACGGACTGTCTGGAGTCCCTCACCCACCACTGCTTCGATGGCACCACGGGGGAACTGGCCCACGCCTTCTTCCCACCCCATGGGGAAATCCACTTCGATGACCACGAGTATTGGATCCTGGGGAACACCAGGTTCAGCTGGAAGAAAGGTAACAGGGAATGCCTGGGATTTAGCTTTCAGTCTGGGATTTACCTGGTGTGGGAAAGAGACAACAGAGCCAGCTGTGGTTTTGTGGGGGTTTGGAAGCTGCTCCTCTGCCCCGTGACTCAGCTGGGCCAAGGGACCCTGTGGGGTGGGAGGGCTGTTTCTGGCTGAATTATTCCATGGAATTATCCCATAGTTCAGTCATAGCCTTCAGTTAAAATCCACCCCTGCTTGGATGCAGGGTTCAGGATGCTGCCAAGAGGCTTGAGTTTGTCCCGTGGGCTGAGGGGGATGCAGAGCTCAGTGGAGGCCCTTTCAGACTGGAATATTCCTGCTAAAACCCCCAGTTCCAGTTCCAGCCCAGGGCTGTGGGAACCTGACAAGAGTGAGTGTTGCACAGGGAATGGCCTTCAAACATTGCTCCTTTGGAGTCTGGCACTGCTCTCTGTCCTGCTGCTGGAAATTAGGAGCATGTGGAAATAATTGGCTTTATTTGGACCCAGCAAAGAAGATGAAACTGGGGCAACCTTTGACAGGACCGTTCTAGTGCTCAACTATTTCCTCTGGTTTTAGGATTAGCAAATACACTTCACCACACAATTCCAGCTGGTTTTCCCTTCCTTCCAGGTGTTTGGCTGACAGACCTGGTCCATGTAGCAGCTCATGAAATAGGCCACGCCTTGGGCCTGATGCACTCTCTGAACCCCAACGCCCTCATGCACATCAACGCCACCCTGACTGGGAAAAAGACCATCTCCCAGGATGAGGTGTGGGGAATCCACAGGCTTTATGGTGAGGAACCAGGGCTCTGGATCCTGCGGAGCTCTCGTGGTGTCAGATCCCAGCTCCGTTTGTGCTCCTCCTTTAGATTCTTCCCTGTCCCAGCTCCCCCATTTCCACTGGGGATCTGATTAAGTGAAGTGTCGATTTGTTTCTCAGAAGGAACTCCCTCCCCCAGCCCCTCTGATGCCCGTTTCTCCTCCTGTTTCAGGCTGCAAAGACAGATTATTTATGTGCCCAGCATGGGCAAAAAAAGGCTTCTGTGAGAAGCGCAGGAAGCTGATGAAGAAGCACTGCCCATCCACCTGTGACTTCTGCTACGGTATCCAAGGTTTCTTCTGGGATTTGGGGAGGGGTTTTGCACAGAGGGAGGAGGTAAAAGCTATTTAGGGGTAGGAAGGATCTTAATTTCACGCTAGAGATCAGTGGCTGTAAGTGATGCAGCTCCAAGCAGCGCAGCAGAGATGGGGTCTCAGGTATTTAAGGTGAAGGCCTGGAATTAGGGGGCAGCTTTTATGTTTAAACATTCGTGGAGTGGAACATTTAACTGTATCTAGTTTAACTGAACCAGTGACAGGGGATAAATATCACAGGCAGGGAGAGGGAAGGGCTGCAGGGCAGTTCCTGAGGCAGGGAGGGGACAGAAACAGGACAAGGGGCATCTCAAGCACAGCTGGACTTGAGCTGCTCCCAGAAAAGGAGATAAAGGATGTTAATCCTGATCCAGTCTCTCAGTTTTACAGATCCAGATAAGGGACTAATGCAGGATCAGGGCAAGTTGCTGCAGCTGTGGAATTAACTTCAGACAAATAACTGGCCTTAAGATGTACCGTGGAACTGGTACCTCTTTCTCCAGCACAGCACTGGGGTTTTTTTAGGCCAGATTAATGCAGAGATGCAGTCAGACAATTACAATCACTTTGGGAACTGTTCATATCCTCTTCCATAGCTGTGGACTGTTTGATTTTTATCCATCTCAGTTTACACCCCACAAAGTAAGTTTTTATCTTTGCACATGAATCCTGTTACGTGTCCGTCCAAGACTCGCTCGTTTTTAAATTCGTACTTTCAATGCTCCTTAAATGACAACCTAATTCTGTGCAAGTGTTTTGGAACGACCAAACTTGCTGCTGAGAGCTGCTCACTAACTGTTGCCACTTCCCTCTCTCCTCCCTGGGGGGGACAGAATTCCCATTTCCAACGGTGCCCCCGACTCTGCCCCCGCCAAGGACCAAGACCAAGATGGTTTCTGAGGGCAGGAACGTCACCTTCCGCTGCGGGCAGAAGATCATCCATAAAAAAGGCAAAGTCTAGTAAGTGCTCCATCCCTCCTTCCATCCTTGGGAGCCCCTGCAGCTTGCACAGGGAAAGGATGAGGGAGGATGGGAAAGCTGAGTGACTGGGAATGGAGTTTATAATCTGGAAGGTGTCACTGGCTCCTTCCAGGGTAGGAAGAGGGGTGGGAAGGGAGAGTGATTGATCAGAACGTTGCAGAGCTTTTCTTTAGCCTGAAAGCAGAGCTCTCAGAAACCATCAGGAGGTCAAAAAAAAGGATAAAATCCAATTCTCATACAGAGCACAAAGCTAATTCCTACAATGAAGCTGAACTCCCTGACCCATATTCTGAAAAAAAAGAAAAAACAGTCTTAAATTTACCCTTTTAGTTCATAGTTATTTAGCTGTTACTAAAATACAAACATGTTATTTAAAGCTGAGAGATTGGTTTAGACTGAGGACCCAAATTCCCATTAACTTTTCCCATTAACTTTTAGTGAGATTCAGGCTTGAGAATTACTCAGGATTGTGCCCTTTTACACCTGAAATACAGAGTAAAACTCAACTGTGTTTTCCTAAAGTCTGCTCTGCACTTAAAAATTTATTAGGAGAAAGAACAATTAACACACACATTGAACTCTGCTAGACATTTGTAGTTTTAATTTCTGTTGTTTTTCTTATGACAGCTGGTATAAAGATAAAGAGCTTCTGGAATACTCATATCCAGGTTATTTATCCTTAAATGAAGATCACATGAGCATCATTGCAAATGCAATTAATGAAGGAACTTACACTTGTATAGTGAAGAAAAAAGAAAGGATCCTGACTACTTATTCCTGGAGAATCAGACTGAAGCACTGACAAGGCCCTGGAATGAGCTCCTTCAGTTCCTGTTAGTTCTGTTTCAAACTGTTTCTTTGGCATTTTTATATTTAATTTCCAGTAGTGCAACTGAACTTCTCCATCAGCTGCTTCCTCACCCTGGGCAAAAGAGACTCTGAGACTGGTTACTGGAATGTAAAACTCTTCCCAATTAGTTTTAATGACAAAGAATTTATCAAGTATGTGCTGTACAGAGAATTAAAAAAAACATTTTTTTTTAAAGAAAAGCATCAGATGGTGCAGTTGAACTGTGTGGATCCCTGGGAACTGCTGGAAAACAGGAGCAGAACTGCATCAGCCCCCGGGATGGCTCAGCTGGGCTGCACTGGAGGCAGACTGGGGAAGGAAAAAGGAGCAGTTTAATACTCTGGAAGTGTTTCTGCCCTGGTTTTGGATCCTGGTGCTCTGCAATAGAAGAAGTTCTACACAAGTCTAAGCCCCAGGATCCCTTTTTCTCCTCCTGCTCAGGAGGAGGGTGTGGGGCACAGCAGCCCTGTCTCACTCAACTCCTCAGTCCACCATGGGCAGGTCAAGTATCCCCAGAACATCTTTTCCCCCCAGATACCCTTCCCAGGGTTTGTATTTATTACTTTGATCCCAACAGGCCCCGAGTGCTCAGAGCTTGTCCCTCAGGTGTCCGAGCAAGGAGCAGACAAGGTGATTTCCATCCCTATCTTCCCCCAGGATGAGGGAGATGTGCCACATCCAGCTGGAAGAGAGCACGAGGAGTGGTTGGCAAAGCTGGAGCGCAGTGCAGGGAAACTGGGAAGGGAATAATTCCATGTCAGATACAAACTCTGCAGTCAGTCATGGTTTAATCCTTGAGTTCACACAGGCTCTGCTTCCGTGGACTTCTGCTTTTCAATGGGTTACTGAGCTCCCTCTCCGAGGAATCTTCTGGAATTGGGAATGTTTCAGTGCACAGAGCAGTGACAGAGCTGTTTCTCCTTTGGGAGGACAGGGCTCTGCATTCCTGCACAGGGAAAACAACCCAGCTGCTTCCAAACCTCACCCCAACTTCAGCACCTCCCCATTCCAGCTCCAAGGCCTTTACCCAGAAAAAACCTCTTCAAAATGTACTGGAAGGGATAGAATGTTTATGATTTCTGTTAATCCTGTTCCTGGCCTGGTGCCCAGTTCTGACTGCTTGAAAATTTGGTGTTTTCCAAACCTCCCTTGTTCCCAGAACAGAGCGAGCCCATTATAAATCAGGATCTGCAAGGGATGTGCTATTCCAACACAATTCCTCCTCTGGTCTTTCCTGAGAAAGGGCTGGAATGTGGCATTACACAATCACTACACAAGCTCTTCTTTTGATGGAGAAAGGGCATATTAAAAGAACTTCCGTGGAAAATAAAGTTTCAAGTCTCCATATTGCATCTTTTCTGATTTATAAAACAACAGAGGAACTTCTTTTGCACCACTGGAAATACATGGACAGAACAAAGCAAACAGTTTTCAGCTCAGCAGTGCACCCCAGGCTTCTTCTCTCGAGGGCAACAGGAAAGAAACCTCATAACTGGCACTTTTTTTTCTGCCCTAAATATATTCAGACACAAACAATTCCCTTAAAATAAAAAATAAATTCTATTTACTGTCACCAACATCCAACTTTGCTGCAGGTGAAGCAATGAAATCCTTCACACTGTTAAACAATTGAAAATGTATTTTAATTCTACAAATTTACAAGGAGAAAAAAAAAAACCAAACCAAAACAAACCCAACAAAACAAACAAACAAACAAAAAACTAAAAAGAAACCAGAAACTGTTCCAGGACTGTAGTTCAAGTTGTCCTTTGTCACAGTTTGTGATGATCCTGGGGTTTTCAGGTAACTCCAGTCCTCTAATGGAATGCAGCAGTTAATACTCCACGTGGATTTATAAAACGGAGCCTTGGAATCCGTGATAACATTTGAGTTTTTCACAGGGAAAAAAAAAAAAAACACATCTCGTCCCCCTGACATGAAGAACCAGAACTGGGGCACTCAAATCCACTCACATGAATGGTGCTTCTTTTTCTTTGTGGGCTTTTTTTCCCCCTCCCTCTTTCACGTTGAGTTTAAAACTTGAGGCTGAAGCCAGGTCCTGCAGCAGATGCTCCCTGGTTGGTGGTGGTCAGATGAAATCCTGTGTCTTTCAGATCATCATCACCCTGGGAAAAGCAAGCACAGGTCACTGATCAGTGGCTGGTTTTACCTCTCCAGCACAAAAATCTCAACAAAAAACAACAAAAAATAAAGTATCTCTAAAAGAGAAACAAACGTTTGCTGTTGTGGCATCACAGCTCAGGTTCTGTGCAGGGTTATTTGTAATCTTTAAACATTGCTAGTTCAAAAGTTGGCTTTGCTAAAGGCAGCTCGAGTGTTCCTGGTTCTTGCACCTGCTTTTGACTGCATGGGAAAGATAAAAAAACTGGGAACACACTGTATGAATAAGTGTAAACTGCACTTAGTGAGCATCTGATCTAACACACGCTGTGTTTGTGCCATGACAATTTTTATACCCTGAAAAATCAAGGCTAAATAACCTTTTCAGCTTCCTTAAACTGTTAAATTGGGCACAATATTGTACAGTGCCATTTCAACTCTGCTGAGACATGGAACTGGAATTAAGGCACCTGAGACTCTGAACATGCCAGACTTACATGGGCAGCACAGTCCCAAGGATACCCCAAAGGACAGACAAGAACATGAGCCTGGCCTTTTCTGAATTCCCCAAATACTGGAATAAATTTGGGATATTTCTACCCCTGAGACCTGTATAGCTCACCAGGCTGCAGACTTACTTCCCAAACAAATTTGAAGGCTTAGCTGGAAGTGTAAAACGAGGTACACTTTTAAAAGAGAGTGTTCTGCACCAGGATAAAACCAGGCCTGGTTGTGTCCTGAACACAGCAGTGACTGGATTTGCCCTTTGGGAGGGCACGGAGGGAAAGCTGGACTTTCAAAAGGCGAGTCCCAGGCTCCCACCCCACAAAAGCCTAAGGAGGCACTCCCAGCTCAGGCTCTGGAGCTGCCCCAGTGTTCCATGGGCTCACCAGCTGGCTGTAGCCCAGCCCTCCCTCGGGGGGCCGGGGGCTCGTGCCCCTCTTGACGCGCTGCTGCTCGCTCTTGGCCGGCCAGGTGGGGAACATGGAGGGGTCGATGGGCAGGGGGGTCTCCCGGAAGTACTCGTGCTTCAGCCCGTCCTCCGCCGTGATCCGCCGCGCTGGGTAGTACGTCAGGAAGCTGGGGAGAGGTGGGAAGGGATCTGAGCCCCAAAACTAGAAATTCGGCCAGAACACAACTGAGAGTTTAACAAAGAATCCTGGGACTGGGTTTAACAAAGAATCCTAGGACTGGGGATTGGGTTTAATTCTATTAACTTGGTATCATTCTATGACTGGGTATTGGGTACAGTTCCATTAATTGGTTATAATTCCATGACTGGGTATTGGGTTTAATTCTATTAATTTGGTATTATTCCATGACTGGGTATTGGGTTTAATTCTAT